TTATTACGATTACTAGTTTAAGTAGAACTAGAGTTTGGCTTCTGTATAATTCTCCCAAGAAAATCTCTTTCTTTCAAATTTCTTCTTCCTTAGATTTAGTTAGTAGTGATTTCGTTGGTTCATGTTCATATTTAATTTTGATTCTTGGAAAGAAATTACTTTTAATTAACTATGTGTTCCCCCAAGAAATCCAGTTCCTCCGCCTCAAAGAACCGACACCCTGACCAGCCTCGCCGGAATGATACGTCACCATCCGGGGAAGGCATTGATGAATCACGTACCGCCAAAGCCAACACCATTCTTGGAAAAAACTTTGCGGCTGCCGGAGTCAACATTAGTGGACAAAGTCTTGCAGTCGACAACATTCTTGGACAAACCCTTGCGGCTGCCGGAATGAGCACTATGGGAGAACTGAGGCCTCGAGGAACTGAGAAAGGAAGTACGGACTGGTACAAGATGTGTACTGAAATCCTAGGGTCTGAGAGCTTGGATGATATCATTGATCACTCTTCTTTGAGCATGTCAAGGTCAAGCGTATCAAGTTTGTCAAGAATGTGCCGGCTGAAGATGAGAGGGAATACGAACTTGAAAGATTTCCCGTCCTTTTTGTCTACACTGGACAGTAACGGACGGCCAAGATTCGGTTACGAGAAAGAGAGGAGAGATGGACGGTTGACTATGACTACGATTATGGTCGCAAACGATAATCCGGAGATTTTCCCTCGTGTTGATGTTGGTGACAGCGAGGAAGTGGAGCTGAATATGTTGAGAAGTGGTGATGAAAAAGATAATGATCAAAGATTAGAATGAGGAGGTAGTTAAGAGTTAATTTTTTAGATTTTTCTTCTAACTGAAGTTGGCGGAAAATTGGCTGGTAAAGTTGGAGGGATGGAGAGGTTTTGAGCCAATGAGTTTTTAGGTTCGAATATAATACACATTATTAGCTAACAATTTGACGTCCTGAAATTCATATATATATATTTTGCTGGTCGTTGGTAGATATTTTACTTTCTCCTTGGGCTTGGATCTGATTTTATATAAATGGAGCCCAAGCCCATCAATGGGCACATTTTGCTTTTACCCATACTCAAAAGGTTGGGCTCTCCAAACAGCATTGAACTTTAAAATTCAAATCGGCCATTCATTATTAATTTTTGTATTTTAAAAGTTAGGATAGATTATATCAATGTATTAAAATTGGTGTTTCTTCGCATTTATATGATATAATAAAAAAAAATTGTGTTCTCTAATAATTTTAATATATGCTATGAGGATAAGGCTTCTAATTTATATGAGAATTGATTTGTTAATGTCATACCACTTTTGTATTATTTACATTATTATTGATTTGAGAGACATCATAGTATATAAATAGGGAAGATTACATTTTTTATTTGTAAGTATCAGTTACAACTATGTTTTCTTTGTTATAATTTAAGATGATCAATTAGCTCAGGATTTGACCTCTTACACAAATATTTTCAATATTCACCTCTTAATTACATTAAATACTTGTATTTGTTGAACTATTTTGTTAAATTGAATTAAATAAATGGAATGAAAATGGTGGTGTAAGTTGAGAATTTGAAAGGTGAAAGGTTAGTGGATTAATGGAGGAAGTTTTAAGAATTGGAAAGTGAAAAGGTGGAAAATGATGGGGGAATTCAATGTTTTGTCCTACCTTGAGTAGTATAAATATGTGTTCTTCCTCTCATTTCAAACACGTCAAAAAAATAAAAAATAAACTTGTATATGTAAGTAGAGGAACTATTAAATGAAAGAGGAAATACTGGATTAACTTGACAGTTGACACATTATTCATCAATTAAGCAGCCTATATATAGGCATTACAACTCAACGTTCTACCATCAAACTAGGCACTCATCTGAACATGCAAAATAGAAAATAAAGACATGTATCCTCCTATAGACAGGTAAAACTAAAGACCAAGCCAATGACCATAACAAATCTTGACACGTACTAAAATCCACTAACAAATTCCTATAGACCCGGTTAATAACAATAAAGCACATCTTGCAACAATAAAGGAAATAGAAGAAACAATTCCTAAAGACTAGGACAAGAATAACAGACCCACGTGATGACATTTTCAACAATCCCTCTCTCAAACTGATGTTTTCAAACACTTAGTTTAATACATATCAACAGCCAAACACCCTCTAATCACGATCTTGCAAAGTGCAGAGACCGAGTAACTTCCTCAACTTTTGAAACGCAAGCAATTTGAGGGGTTTGGTAAATATGTCAGCAACTTGGTCTTCACTTCTACAGTAAACAAGATCAATAACTCTATCTTTTCTGTGGTTTCTTAAGAAATGATACTTAACATCAATGTGCTTGCTTCTTCCGTGCAAAACAGGATTCTTGGAAAGTTTAATTGTTGAACTACTGTCACAATAAAGTATAGTGGGTTCTTGTTGTTTGAAGTGCAGCTCCTCAAGAATTTTCCTCAACCAAATGGCTTGACAAGCACATGCAGTTGCAGCTACAAGCTCTGCTTCTGTTGTTGATAAAGTAACAATCGGTTGCTTCTTTGAACTCCATGAAACAACTGCTGAACCCATCATGAATACATAGCCAGACGTACTCTTTCTATCTTCAAGATCACCTGCATAATCACTGTCAGTAAAACCAAACAAATCTGACTTTTCACCCTTCTTATAGAACAACCCATATTCAATGGTTCCTTGCAAGTATCGAAAAATCCTCTTGGCAGCTAAAAGATGCATCTCCTTTGGGCATTCCATGTATCTACTAATGAGACTTACAGCATGCATAATATCAGGCCTTGTGGCGATCAAATACATCAAGCTTCCCACAATTTGCTTGTAAAGGGTGCTGTCAACCTTCTTTCCTTCAAGATCTTTGATGAGCTTCAAACCCACTTCAGATGGCGTGCTAACAGAATTGCAGTTCTTCATTTGAAACTTGTCTAGAATTTCTTGCACATACTTCTTTTGAGAAATAAAAATACCAACAACAGATTGCAGCATTTCAATACCGAGAAAATAATGCATTTTTCCAAGATCAGTCATTTCAAATTCAAGCATCATAGACTGTTTAAAATTTTCAATCATGGCACTATCATTTCTCGTATAAATTAAATCATCCACATATAAACAAACAATGAGCATTTTTCCTCCATCTCTAATTTTTGTAAAAAGCGTATGCTCATATGGACATTTCTTAAACCCTTCCTTAGAAAAATAAGCATCTATACGACTATTCCAAGCTCTTGGAGCTTGTTTTAGTCCATATAGTGCCCTGTTTAATTTATACACCTTATGCTTACTTCCAAGCTTCACATAACCAGGAGGTTGATCAATAAATACCTGTTCTTCCAAGTCTCCATGTAAGAAAGCTGACTTCACGTCCAACTGGAAGATAGGCCATGAGTTTTCTGCTGCTAATGTGATCACCAATCTGATTGTATCATGCCTAGCTATAGGAGCAAACACTTCTTTGTAGTCAACACCAAACTCTTGCTTATACCCTTTAGCTACTAAGCGCGCCTTATACTTGTCAATTTCACCATTTTCCTTCAATTTTGTCTTGTACACCCACTTGACACCAATTGTTTTGTGTCCTATTAGAAGATTAGTCAACTCCCAAGTATTGTTTCATTCAATGGCTGCCATTTCTTCATCAATCGCCTTGCGCCATTTTGATTCTTTGATAGCTTCTTCATAAGCTGTAGGATCACAATCAGCAAATAAGGCAAAATGTGTGAGTGGGTCCTCATCAGATTCATCAGTTACCTCATAATCTATCATCCACGCTGGTCTTTTTCTAACTCGTTGAGGCCTTTGTTCTCCAACTTCTTCAACCACAGGTAGGCTTTGTGAATCATTCTGAGTTGATGCCATAGGTTGCTGCCTTTTCGCATCACTCTTACCATCAAAATCCGCTGGAATATGTTGTCTAACAATATTGTCACTCCATGGCCAGGTCTTTTCTTCATCAAAGACAACATCACGACTGATTACAATTTTCTTAGTGCTAGGATTGTATAGCTTATAAGCTTTTGATTGATCACTAACACCAAGAAAAATGCATTTTTCTCCCTTGTCATCTAGCTTTTTCCTCTTCTCATCTGGAATATAGGCATAAGCAATACATCCAAAAATTCTGAAATGATCTACAACCGGTCTTCGTCTGCTCCATGCTTCCTCCGTTGTCATATTTTGAACAGCAAGAGTGGGACTTCTATTCAAAATATGAATGCTCCAGTTAACAGCTTCAGCCCAAAAAGTTTTCGGAATACCACTCCTCATTAAAAGACTTCGCACCATATTCAATATAGTGCGATTCTTCCTCTCACAAACTCCATTTTGTTGAAGCATATATGCTACTGTAAGTTGCCTCTTAATTCCATGGGTCTCACAAAAATTTGCAAATTCATGTGAGTTGTATTCTCCACCACGATCAGTACGAAGAACTTTTATTGGACTACCAACTTCTTTCTCAACACGTACTTTATAATTTTTAAAGGCTACAAATGCTTCAGATTTCTCCTGCAAAAAATACACCCATGTTTTTCGACTATAATCATCAATGAAGGTAATTACGTATCGTTTACCTCCATTAGAGGATGGATTAATTGGCCCACAAATGTCAGAATGAACTAGTTCCAATGGCTTCTTTACTCTCCAAGATTTTCCTTGTGGAAATTGATTATGGTGTTGTTTACTAACAACGCATTCTTCACAAACTTGAGATGGAGCAATAACTTGAGGAAGACCCGTCACCATGTTCTTTTGTTGTAGTATTCTCAATCCGCCAAAATTGAGATGCCTATAGCGAAAATGCCATAACCATGCGTCGTCCTTTAGTCTTGCAGATAAGCATGAATGAGTGGTGTTTTGAAGATACAGCAGAAACATTCGATTTGCCGTCATGTTAACTTGAGCAATTAGGCCCAACTTTGCATCTTATATACGACATACTCCCTCTTTGATGGAAATCTTATACCCTTTTTCTTACAGCTGACCCACACTAAGTAAGTTGGTCTTCAAGTCTGGAACAAAAAGAACATTAGAGATGGTCTGAGTAGAATTTCCCTTGGTTTGGATTGACACTCTTCCTTTTCCCATAACTGACACTTTAGAATTGTCACCAAACTTCACATTATCACAAAATGACTCATCCAAATCAGAGAATGCAGACTTGTCTCCACACATATGATTGCCGCAGCCTGTGTCTAAGTACCACAAATTCTTGTTGGTTTCTTCCTTTGCATGACAAACCATTAATAAGGATACTTCTTCTTCGTTCTCTGCAAGATTAGATATCTCTCCATGTTGTCTATTCAGATTAGTTCAGCATTCATATTTGTAGTGGCCATACCGATGACATCTGTAGCACTCCATATTGAACTTGTTTGCTGATCTTGGTCTATAAGAAGTCGAGTGGTGGCCTCCTCGTCCTCTTGCTCTTCCTTGAAATTGATTATCTTGGTATTGGTTTCCTCGATCATTGTTTGCTCTACCTCTGCCTCTATTGCCTCGTCCTCCTCTTTCGCTAAATGCATCTCTGTTGCCTCTACCTTCTCTTCCTCTACCTCGATCTGCTGATTGATTCTGTGTCATAGCATTGTTGTTAGTTGAAGCTTTCAGAGCTTGCTCCTCATTGTCCTGCTGGATCAACTTGTGCTCATGAACCAGTAATGAACCTTGGAGTTCATCAATTGAGAGTTGATCAAGGTCCTTTGACTCTTCAATTGAACAAACCACATAATTGAACTTTGGTGTCATCGATCGAAGTATTTTCTCGATTACTTTTACGTCATCTATCTTTTCACCATGAATCCGCATTTTGTTGATAATTGCCATTGTTTTTGAGAAAAAATAAAAAACTGACTCTCCCGGTTTCATACGGAATAATCCGAACTCTGTATGGAGTGCTTGGAGTTGCTGCCTCTTTGCTCTTGTTGTTCCTTGGTGTTTCTTCTTCATGGAATCCCAAATATATTTGGAGGTGTCCTTGCAAAGAATGGTTTCCAGGATTGAGCGATCAATAGCTTGGAAAAGATAGTTTTTTGCTTTGAGATCCTTCAATCGCTGCCCATCAAGTTCAATTTTCTGTTGGTCTGTTAAGACTGTGCCTGCTGCTGGTTCTGCTACTCCATTCTCAACAATCTGCCAATACTCTTTAGACCTCAAGAAGTTCTCCATCAACATGCTCCAATGGTCATAATGACCATCAAAGCGTGGAATTGCAAGTTGCACAAAGTTTTCTGAAGCCATCGTTCGCTGCTACTGCAAAAAAAAAAAAAAAAAAAAAAAAAAGGAACAAAGCTGATGCTCTACTTCTATATCTCACGTACTGTCGTGTCTCACATATTCTCCCTGTCTTTTGACTCACTTAATCTCTCCTGTTTAAACTTACTCTTGGCAGCAGTGTCTCACGAACTCCCTCTCTCTTGGCTCACCCTCTTTTTTTTTTTTTTTTTCTCACCCAGTTGTCACTCTCTAGCTCTGATACCACTGATAAAAAATAAACTTGTATATGTAAGTAGAGGAACTATTAAATGAAAGAGGAAATACTGGATTAACTTGACACATTATTCATCAATTAAGCAGCCTATATATAGGCATTACAACTCAACGTTCTACCACCAAACTAGGCACTCATCTGAACATGCAAAACAGAAAATAAAGACATGTATCCTCCTATAGACCAGGTAAAACTAAAGACCAAGCTAATGACCATAACAAATCTTGACACGTACTAAAATCCACTAACAAATTCCTATAGACCCGGTTAATAACAATAAACCACATCTTGCAACAATAAAGGAAATAGAAGAAACAATTCCTAAAGACTAGGACAATAATAACAACCCACGTGATGACATTTTCAACACCAAAAAAAATCGAGATCTCTTTCAATCTCTTATTTTCTTTCTAGTTTTTAAAGTTTTCTTTTGTTGGAGTTAAGACTTTATTCAGTTCGTTAAAATAGAAGAGTAGTGTTTCTCTTGCTATTCATATATCATTGTATCCTGGGAAACAGACGCTGCTCAAATCCTTGAGCACTCGAGTGAAGGAGGAGAATCTGATCTAAGGAAATTGTGTGTTACACATGCCTCGACATTCTTCCTAAGATTGTATTCTCTAAATCTCATCCTATCATTCTGAAGGATTTCCTACACGCGATCAAGTTGTTGGTATTGTTAATTTTATTGTATTGTCTTTGTATTTTATTGACAGTTAATTCTATTGTTTTATATTAAAAAGATTTATTATTTGCGGTTACTAATATAATAGTTGATTATTTTATAACAATATTTTTTTTATAACAATCTTAAAACAGATTTGACTTTATTAGTAACCGTAGTTTATTTTGTTAAAAACATTATGTTTTGATATTCCCAAATGTTGCAGTCCTTGTGCAGTAAAAGTGTGGTGGTGAAATTTGAACAGTACGATTTAGAGAAATTTTGTCTAAGGAGACTGGATTTTAAGAGGCACCATTTGTGACCCCTCCAGTGTTTCTTGGGAATTATCTTTTGACTACTTTTCAAAAATGCACATAATAATTTTTTGGTTTGGATTTTTTAGAAAATGACATCTGAATCAAACTCTGGTGATGTGTTGAACCAAGTTGTGGCTCCCACACCAACTCATGTGGCACCGACCTCTATTCCTATGAACCATGCAAAAAAACCAGAAAAATTCGATGGAATGCATTTCAAGAGGTGGCAACAAAAGATGTTTTTCTATTTGACCACCTTGAATCTTGCGAGATTCTTGACTGAGGATGCTCTTACACTCAAAGAAGATGAGCACGATGTTTAAATTATCAGTGTTGTTGATGCTTGGAAACATTCTGAAAATTTGTGCCAAAATTATGTCATGAATTGTTTGACAGATTCATTGTACAATGTGTACGTTCGAAGTAAATGGCCAAAGAATTATGGGAGTCTTTAGACCGTAAATATAAAACTGAGGATGCTGGGTCCAAAAAGTTTGTGGTCGGACAATTCCTCGATTATAAAATGGTGGACTCCAGGGCTGTTATCAGTCAAGTGCAAGAGATCCAGTTGATTTTATATGAAATTCATTCTGAAGGGATGGTGCTAAGTGAAACTTTCCAAGTAGTTGCCGTTATTGAGAAGCTACCTCCCGTATGGAAAGATTTCAAGAACTATCTTAAACACAAGCAAAAGGAGATGAACTTGAAGAACTCATTGTTAGACTTTGGATTGAAGAAGACAACAGAAGTTTAGAAAATAGAGGGTTTACTCCTGCAGCAGTAGTAAAAGTAAATGTTATAGAGCATGGTCAGAGTTCTAATTCTAAGAAGATAGAGAAAACGGTCAAGCTGGGGCCAAAAGGAGGCATCTCTAAGAAGCCAAAAAAGTTCCAAGGCAAGTGTGTTGATTGCGACAAGATGGGTCACAAAGCTTCCGATTGTAGATTGTCGAGAAGAAACCGAATCAAAGAGGCAAATGTTATGAAGAATATTACTCAGGATGTCTCTGACATAAGTCTCTCTGCGGTGGTTTTAGAAGTGAATCTGGTTGGGTCTAACCCAAGAGAATGGTGACTTGACACTGGAGCCACTCGACATGTCTGCTTAGCAAAGGACTATTTAATTCTTTTGAACCAAATGAGAATGGGGAAAAGTTGTACATGGGAAATTCAGCTACTTTAGAGATTGAAGGTCAGGAAGGGTGGTCTTAAAGATGACATCTGGGAAAGAGCTAACTCTGAACAATGTTTTGTATGTGCCAAATCTAATAGTGGATTTGTGTTCACACTAAAAGGTGCAACAGTATCATGGAAATCCTCCAAACAAATTGTTATAGCCAGATCCACTATGGAATCAGAATTTATTGCTCTGGATAAGTGTGGTGAAGAGGCTGAATGGTTACGCCAATTCTTAGAGGATATTCCAAAGTGACCAAAGCTTGTGCCACCAATCTGCATTCGTTGTGATAATCAATCTACAATTGGAAACAAAGCAATATGTATAATGGTAAGTCTAGACATATATGGCGTCGACATAATACCATTAGACAACTACTCTCAACAGGAATTATCTCTATTGATTATGTGAAATCAAAAGATAATTTAGCAGATTCACTAACCAAAGGGTTAAATAGAGAGGTAGTTGAAAAATCATCAAGAGGAATGGGACTAAAGCCCATGAAATACGTTGATATAATGGAAACTCAACCTAATTGACTAGAGATCCCAAAATTTAGGTTCAAAGAGACAACTTAATTATAAAGACTTAGATAGATCACTATGAGAGGTATTCTCAATCCGCTCCTATGATTAAATGAAACAGTGATGCCCGTAAGGAATAAGGTTAAGCGAAAGCTTTTAATGATTCTTATGCGTCGGGCTTTTGAGCAGAGTAATGCGCATTACTCTTAAAGAAATCACCTATGTGAGAAAGAAGTAGGGCCGCTTCTAAAGGGAATTGTATAGGGCTCAATTCTTAAGAACTTCTCGCAGAACCAGGGGTATGTTCATGGCCAAAACAAACATAATAATGAGGACTGAATAACATCAAGGAGGATTCTTGTGTGAACTATGTCATCATTTACATAAATGACAAATTAGTTCAAGGACATCATGTCTACTAATCAGTCAGTAAAGTAAGCATACTTTCACAAGGGAAGGTTCAAAGGGTAACACCTACCTATCCTATGCAAGTCCAACCATTTAAACTCCATCACTGTGTCTTGTGTCTAGATTTGTCAAATTTCATTCATGAGGGGGATTGTTGGAATATTTTATTAAATTGAATGAAATAAAGGGAATGAAAGTGGTGGTTAAGTTGAGAATTTGAAAGGTAAAAGGTTAGTGGATTAATGGAGGAAGTTTTAAGAATTGGAAAGTGAAAAGGTGGAATTCAATGTTTTGTCCCACCTTGAGTAGTATAAAAAGGTGTTCTTCCTCTCATTTCAAACACACCAAAAAAAATTGAGAGCTCTTTCAATCTCTTATTTTCTTTCTAGTTTTTAAGGTTTTCTTTTGTTGAAGTTAAGACTTTATTCAGTTCGTTAGAATAGAAAAGTGGTACTTCTCTTGCTATTCATTTATCATTGTATCCTGGGAAACAGACGCTGCTCAAATCCTTGTGCACCCGAGTGAAGAAAGCAAATCTGTTTTAAGGAAACTGTGTGTTACACAGGCCTCGACATTCTTCCTAAGGTTGTATTCTCTAGATCTCATCCTATCATTGTAAAGAATTTCCTACACGTGATCAAGTTGTTGGTATTGTTAATTTTATTGTATTGTCTTTTTATTTTATTGTCTTTTTATTTTATTTACAGTTAATTCTATTGTTTTATATTAAAAAGATTTATTATTTTCTGTTACTAATATAATAATTGATTGTTTTATAACAATCCTATTGTTTTATATTAAAAGGATTTATTATTTTTTGTTACTAATATAATAATCGATTATTTTATAACAATTTTTTTTTTTTTTAAATAACAGTGTTAAATGACATGACCCTCTTAAGCCGGCTGAAAAAATTCAAGCACTGCCCCGAAGTGATGGTCACGACTTCATTGTTTGACATATTGTCTTTCTCATTGACGTAACATTTACAACTAACAAACAAAGCAAACCTTATTATAAATTACAGTTGAATTTATCAATTCATTTTAGTAAGACCGAGACTGGTGGTGACTGGTCAAAAAATTACCAGTCAAAACACTGTAAAAATGATCAAATAATCAGCACACTCAGATTCAGATTTTCTATCCAACCAACACAAAGTTTATGATTTAGAAAGCATAAATAGAAGGAAGCAGGTCCTAAATAATCTGCCCCCTACCATTGCCACAAGGAAAACATATAGTTATACATATAATATCATCTAAAATGATCAAATGAAATGGTCAATTTGTTATCTCTCTTGTGTGTGTGTTTTCCATATACCTTTTGATGGAAAAGAACCTGTTATCTTTACAACTTTTTGTTTAGGTCGACGTTGCCTTTTGCTAACCTTTCTTTGGTCAATGCTTTCTACTTTAACTATATCCACTTTCACTATGTGATGATCTGAAGTTCCTTTTGAAGAAAAGACCGAGTATGATCCTGGAACAAATTTGTATGGAGAATTCGGTGACCCTAATATGTAATCCACCCTTGTTCCATACTTGCATGTCCCCTGCACACCTGCATCAAAAAGTACTTTTTTTAGGAAAGAATTTGATTAGAATATTCAGGTGAAAACAATTGAAGACAGTGTTTTATACTTTGGCCTTTGGCGATCATCACTACTGACTCGCATTCTCCAGCAAAGTCCTTAGCATCAGTGTACTGTTTACTCTTGAGAAATTTCATAACTTCGACCTTTGGTGTTGGCTTTCCCATCTCCTCATAGTACTATAACATTTAGAACCATTGAAAGGAATAGGTGATTAATTAAGTTGTTTCTAACATCAATGATGTTAAAATGAAAACTATTGATCTATATTTATTACCTTGACAATATCTGTCCACCTCTCTGGTGAGTAATCTGTTTCATCGAGTGAATTTAGGCCTCCGGCTAAAATGTGAGGAGCTTCGTTTGATTGGATTATAGCATTAATCTGCTTCATCCGCCAATTTTCGTTGAGATGATCAAGGTGGGTGCAATGGAAGTTCACTTCTCCTGTCTGGGGAACATCAACCGTGACCTTAAGAACGTTTCTGTGTCCAACAGATAGCATCAAAGTCAAATCTTAAATTACATCCATCATAAGCTGTAAATTGCTATAATTTAGTTTGTCCTAATCTAAAGTTTTTACTAGTAAGAAGGGGAAACTTATTGTTTATGATAAAATAGAAACTTAGGATTAAAAAAGAAGTTCCATTGTTCATACTCCTAAAAGGAAGAAGTAGCAAGCTAATTAGGTCATTCAAGCATCTGATAACAAACTTCACCTAAATTCTATACCTAACACACCTCACCTAAAATCATATAATACCTTGATATTGTATCTATGTTTTGTCCTAAAGTAAACAACACATTTCTGCAACAAGGCAAAATAGAGCCAGTATTTAAAAGCCTTAAGCTTATAAACTTCTATTAACAGCAGGTCTCACTGTCACTGTCACTGTCCCTGTCACAGATACTAAGAAGTTATATATTCCCCAACAAAGTTAAAACTTACTGGGCGCTGGAATATGGAATTTTGAAAATTGGTATTTCAACAAATGCAGGAGATACTACAGTGATCTTGAACATAATGATCTAATTCATTAGAATCAGGCACTGTACTGACATTGGAAAGTCAGAAGTCATCTGGGAAAATATATGAATTGATTCGCAGAAGTCGAGTCCAAAGAAAAATTTAAAGATAACCGTGAAATTTTCCTGTAATTTGGGGAAAATAATGATGAATAAATTCAGCAATCAATCCCTTTACAAAAAAATTTATCAAGAGAGAAGGAGAAACGATGAGTATAAAACTTTAGAAGTACCAATATGAGGTGAATCACATGATAATATAAAAAAATAAAAAAAAATATATTGGGTGCCATTTGGTCAGAGACAGACACTATACAATACAGCTGTAACTGAGATTTTGACCAGTCGACTCATTCGTCACAGCTGTTTGTTACCAAACAGATTGCAGAACACCAAGCAAAGCATCTTCTGACTCTGAGCTTAAGAAATCTAAAAGTACACAGAATAAGAAGAACAGAGATTGTTACCATAATAACATCCAACAATATCTTCAAACTTCTACAAATGTGTTCACCAATTCATATCTTGTGAAAAGTTCCTCTTAACTTTATTGAAAGTTACATTCATAATTGCTGACTTTTTCCATAGTAATTATATTTTAATTTTGGCTTCCTTTTACATTTAACAAATGATTATCATGGAAAAACGAAAACCAACAATAAGCAGAGATTAATCAAGAACTCGATAATCGATCACTCACCTGATATCGGTGTCATCAAAGATCTTCTGCACTTTCCAACGCTTGATCGGCCATTTTGACAACACAGCGTTACCATACTCAGGTGCCCAACTCTCAGCAAAAGCATAATTCATCCCCAAAGCAGCAGCCAAATCAGACAGAGGCTTCATGGCGTTTTCTTCCTCAGCCTTCACATCTTGCAAAGCCAATATATCAGCATCTAGTTCTCTCAACACTTCCACAACCGTCCTGCTACTTCTATAGCTTTCCACATCACCGTTTGCCACATTTGTTGCAAAACTTACAGCTGATCTTGATCTAATGGGACCCTTCCCTTTCAAAATTCTACTTATACTAGTGCTTGAAGAACTTGAGGCATCATTCTCGTCTTCTCTAAAACTCAATTGCCGGCTACGCAGCAATGAAATCTCATTATCAGGTAAATTTATGGATACCCTTAACTTTGATTTCGAAAAATTTTGTTGCTTAGAGAGATTCTCATGCAAGGGAGATTGCTTCAGTATACTCTTTGGACGATCATTCATAGACTTTGCACTTATATTGACTTCAACCGACTTTCTACCTTTAGTAAAATCTTCATTTTCGCCGTCAAAATTTGAAGACTTGTCCGATTTAGGCACGGCAGGTGCCATAGAGAACAAGGCAGCGTTGAAAGTAGCTACACGTATCGTCCTTCCGGGTTTGAAACCACCCATTTGACCATTGGGATGAACTGCAGCTGAGCCGTTTGCAACAGGTTCATTTTTTGCGTCAATTTGTGACTTTGAGTCGGTTTTTCCGAACTTTTTGATGACAACTTTGGACTCAGAGCGGCGGCGCATCGGCCACCGGAGACGGTAGTAGAGGCGCTTGATTCTTTTGTTGAGGATTTTGAGCATTCTGGAAAAGTTAGTGTAGAAAACAACGAGTTTTGGGTTTGTTAGAGATGGCATGAGAAGCCGGGAACAAGTTGCAGAGTTGATTATTTTTTGAGAGTTTAGTGGATTAATTTTGGTTTATTTAGATGTTGAATTAATGGAGGAGTCTTCTTGGAAATGGGTTTGTTGACACATGGCAGACATATAGAGGGTTGAATATGTAAGTACAAGAAATTCAGATTTCTTGAGAGAGAAGATCTGAATAGAGATGCTAACTGCTCCACAGAGAGAGAGAGAGAAATGAAAGGGATTTGGGTGTTAATTGGACAGTATACAAATGTCGTTTGGGGTTTTAATTAATTAAGATTTTCACATTAACAGAAAAAAGTTTAATTAAAACAGTCCAACAACTCCAGTCCAGTCCAGTCCAGTCCATGCAAATGCAAGTAAGATTCTTGTTTGGAACGCCACGTCACCTGAAACACGGCGCATACAACTCCCATGCAACCTTGGTGGAGCCGTTTATACGTGGCACGATCATGGTTGGAGAGGATTATCATAAAAATCCCAGATGAGTTGTTGTGGGTTCCCCCATATCATCTTCTCATTAATATCTGAGGTCCAGACAGCAGGCCCAACCAAGCCCACTTTCTCAATCTTTTTTTGGTCCTTATTTAATAAATTAATATTCTATGATAATTAATATTAATTAATCTGGGTCTGACCTCAGGTAACCCATGATGGGTGATTAAAAAAAGGAGAGGCAGACGTCAAAAAGTTGACATAATTGTATCCACTTATTATTTAGTTTCAATATTAAATAGGGTTTTACCAGTTCGGTGAGGTACATTGTTTTTTTAAATTATGGTACAAGATTTTTAATAAGTTTAGGGATAACTAAATAAGCAATTATGTAGGTCTAGCTGGATTTGCTGGCTGAAGAAAGATGCCAAATGCAGTACTATTTTGAGATTTAGCCTACATTGAGACAGCTTTTCTCAACTGCTTCCCTAACCTATTGTGTTTACATTCAAATACTTATCAAACTTTGTGATATAATAATATAAATATTAAATTAAAACTAATCTTAAGAAGGAGTAATTGATATCAAAGAGATGATAAATAGAGTTTTTGGGTTATTAAAAAACTGAAAAAAGAAGGGATGTTTCTTGGGAGAGGGCAACTAATCTCAGCGCAAGTGTAATCTAGCTGTAGAAAATGTGCATTATTTGGACATGACATTTTCATATTATAAGTCATACACTGACACCAACCATACTTGCATAATAGCAGTTTAATATTTCAAAGGGTTAAATCTACAGCAGTTAATCATTGGTCTTAATTTTAAAGCCCAAAGCATAAACTTCAAAAAATCACACATATAAGAGGAGTGGATTTTGCAGTTTGGGGATTAATGTTTTAATATTGAGTAATACTATTACTAGCCTTACAAAGAGATATACAAAGAATCATACAAAGAGTCAAATCCAATATTTGCAAGAAGGGAAAAAGAGAGAGAGAAAAAGACAATTATAAATTTCAAATATTGAATTTAACTCTTTGTATGGTTCTTTGTAAGACTAGTATTACTTTTTAATATTAATGAGGGAAGGGGGAGCTGAGAATGATAGAAAATAAAAATATGGGTTTGGTATTGGTTATTATGAGAAGTTGTCATAATAAACTTAAGTCGATTGGGTCCAGAAGCTATTAATTCGGGATATCAAATTAATAGGTGGAATAGAATTGGTCCACTGCCACTACCATATTGGCTTTTGGAAGTGTGTTTTTGTTGAATTGGCCCGCATCAATTAAGAACCAATCCAAATTAAATATGAAAGCAATCAAAGAAAACAACACCACTTCATTTTCACATTCCACATTTGTGTTAGCTCATACAAAATCACTTTTTCTCAAGGAGCCCATTTTAAGTAATAAATTGAAAAACATACATCGTCGACAGCAGGGTTCGAACCTGCGCGGGCGAAGCCCAACAGATTTCAAGTCTGTCTCCTTAACCACTCGGACATATCGACATTGATGTTGACGTTGTTCGTTGATTCTTTCTAAACCCTAAAAGATTATTTCAAAATCCCCCACCATTTTGCGAATGTTAAAAAAAAAAAAAAAAACACTACATTCACCTAATCTCTCAGTGGGGATGGATGATAAAAATCCTAATCGGAATTTCTTTTTTACAACTGGGCATCAAGATGAAATTTTATATTAACAATAGGGCTATGTGAAAGAGCTTCCTCAAGACAGATGCATAAAAGAAAATTACAGATATGGTTACCACTTAACCTCTGAAGCTAACCAAAACATGCCAGAGTTATGGCCGTGCATGCCTTGAAATACAATTGTCATGAGTCATGAACACACATGAACATGAGATTATGGGGAATACTAAACGACATCATCTAGAGCTTATGATCAAATCGGTACAGATACAGTAATACTACCAATCTAATCAAGAAGCCTAACCTATAATGACACACTGAATGAAGGAATATCAAATAGTCTGACCAAAGGAATGAACCATTTTCTAGGTTTGGAAACATGAACAAAGTGATAGCAAAGACGAACTTTATATTTTATGTAAAGCATTAACTTATACTTTTACCAAAAAAAAAAAAAAAAAAACTATGACTATTTTGTTTCTTCCTTTTCTCTAGTTCTCTCTTTTCTAGAATAACTTTTTCTAAACTATATAAATTACCCAAAACCCAAACAAAAAGGCAACAACTCGATGAACTTCAACATAAATCCATTTACAACATTCAAGTTGCTGCTGTTACAACCCAGCCCCCCTTTCAGCAAAAAGGTGAGTGCCGCTATGGCTTAGGAAAATGCACATTAATGCGCCTCTGGATTGGGGTCCTACAAGAAGGACAATCTTTCATGCCTTCTTTCTCATGGAGTTCATTGCATTTTGGACAGAGAACCTGATGAGCACACGGCAGGAAAACCACAGACTTCTCCTCTGATAGGCACATGACACACTCCCGTTCCTGTTTTAAACCTCCTGTCGCAACATTTTCAGGAAAGTTTGTCCCTTCCCTTGAAAAACTAGGAATACGATTTCCCTTCATTTCTGGGCTTGCACTCTTGCCACCAGGCAGGAAGCAACCAAAGCCTCCATCAGCACTTCCTCGAAGGGCTGCTATTTTACAAGAGTCTGACTTATATTTCAAAAGAGATATCTGGCCCTCAAGCTTTTTTATATCAACTGTATATTTCTTGATCTCTTTTTCTGCTTTCAGCTTTATCATTTCCTCTTCTGCTTTAGCAGTAGCTTCAAGCTGTTCTCGCTCCTTCCGTATGGAAGCAGCCTGTGCACAAAGTTTTTCCTTTGCCATCCTCTCTTCTTTCAATCTAGCCTGCAATTTTGTTATTGTTTCTATTGAGCAAGTAACAGAACATAGACATTGGGATCATGTAATACAATGCTATTTTTATTCAAACAAGGAAAACTCCTGAATTAGCATGTTTCATGCAATGGTTGAACATACAGACCTATTATATAATATGGCCTAGATAAGCTTTTCTGGGGACTGAATATCTATGAATCCCTAGCCTAGATAAGCTTTTCTAGGGACTGAATAACTATGAAATCCCTAGCCCAGATCCCTTTGCACGTGTTTTGAGAAGTAATTATATAATATCTCTAGTTTGTTGACTGACACACTGAGTGATTCTGTCACAAAAAGATTAAAGCTGATATTCTAAATAAAGCCAGTGACGTCGTCATAAAAATATGCCATATTCACTTCCTACTTAGATTCATCAGTACAACATGTTTTAGTATTTGATTAGCTAGTGACTTCATTTTTCCATTTTGAAGAAGCATACCTCAACTTGGTTCTGGCGATTTCTTGTCTTGCTTATTTCCTGTTGCAGCTCGGCTGCCTTCAGCTTCTCACAAGCAAGTTCCTCCCGTAACAAAGCCTTCTGTCCCTCCCATGACTGTGCATCCTTGAGTGCCTTCTGTTCCCTCTCCAACGCTTCCAGACAATTGGTAGCTGATTCTGCTGCCCGTAGTTTGGCAGCTTCCATCTCCCTCTTGAGCAGAACATGCTCTAATTCGAGCTTACGTACAGTAGTGTTAGACCTTTCAACCTGACCAGTGGCATTATTAAGGGCAAACTCCATCTCTGATAGCCTCTTCATGGTGTTCTCCTCCAACATTTGCTTTTCTTTTTTACTTTGCTCTGCTTCTTGCTTCTCTTGCCTCAGTGACTTAAGCTCAGGTTGGTCTTTGCTAAGCCTACGAGCAGCTTGCATTACCTTTTGATTGGCCCACTCAGTCCAACTGTTCAGTTCATTCTCCAGCTCCTGCACCCGAGGAACTAGCTTCAAAAGAAGTTCATCCTTCTCATCCCGTGGGACATACTTCCCCAAAGACTCATCAAAAGGAATTCCAGCATAGAAGTCAGGCATCATGGGAGACAGAAAGACGCAGGATTCAGCTCTTGTAGCAGGATGTTTTTCTGAAGAAGATGATGCTGCATGTTCAACGTTTGGGGCAGGTAATGCAGACATAGTGCACTTTGTTGAAGCACTATCAGGCACAGGAAAAGCAAGTGGAGTACCAGTAGAAACAGAATGGCTTCCATCAGCTGAAGAAGCTATAGCTTCTGTTTCTGTACTATTCTTTGAGGCACCACTTTTAGGTTGTACAGCAGGCAAATCAGTTGGAGGTTGCACTCTCTTTTCCACCACAAAACCACCAATGGTAGCAAGCTTGCCTGATTTGAAGGCTCCTTTCCCATAAGCCTTGTAGGTTTTTTCGGTGTGTCCATGGAAGGACTTTTGTCGGAGGGTTGCTAGTTCCTTCTTGGACCTCCCCTTTCGACCAGTTCCCGATCTTTCTTCAGGGGCAAGTGTTAGGGACATATTCTGAACACGTTCCCCAAGTGAACTCAAAGATTTTTCCACACTTTGTGCCACCATAACTAGACTGTCTCTCCCTTTATTTCTGGGGTTAGGTAAATTTGGGAAACTTCCAAATTTGAGAGTTTCAGCAGGACAACTTTGAGGATTGGGATTGGAAGGGTTTGGAATATTTGCTTCTTTGGTGTTTGGAGGAACCGTCACAGAAGTTTGTGCTTCTGATCCTGATGGGGAAGGTGTAGAGCAAGAGGAACTTTCTCCTGAGACTTCTTTACCATCAAGAAAATTCAACAGATCTCCTTCCGCTGTACAGGCTTGTGAAATGTTCAAGTCACACATTAACAACCACCACATTGCTTCTGCAATGGATAAGGATGGCTTCACCTCCCTAAGCACATTTATCATCTCCAGCATGGTGTAGTCAACCAATTGCTTCAAATCTTCGAACACTTCATCCCTCGAAGCATAAACTCCCTTCCCTTTATTCAAAAAGGCCAAAGCATCATCAACTACATTTGACACAAGGTCTTTACCCCCACAGTAAAGCCCATGCCTTGAAATGGATTTCTCAGCATCCTCCTCACTATAGCCACGCTCAACAATCTGCATAATTGCATCCCTGAAAAGTACGAGCAAACCAGCAGACAGCAGTTCCTCAAGTGCACGCACAATGGGATCATCCCAATCAGCAGATTCACACTCTTCTCCTCTGGCTACTTCCTTAGACTGACTGGACCTCATTCCCAATGACACCGGCTCACTCGATGGGTTCTGAGATTTCTTTGAGGATTGTTCATACCGTGGGAATTCGGTCAGGGATGAGGGAAGGTTAATCAGGTTCTTTATAGAAGGATCGAATAATTTTCTCTTGTTCTTACTTCCTTTATTTTGGGATGACACAGAAGATGACCCTACTTTGCTTCCGCCATCAGCCATTTTATCTTTTTTACGAACAAAAAGGAATCCCCCAATTCCCGAACTGGCTGCACCTCTACCAACAAACCCTATATAATTAAGCAGATCATCAAAGAGAAAACAATGACCCCCATCCCAAAAATAAAAATAAAAATAAAGATAAGTAATAGCAAAAATACCGAGATTAGTAAAAAAGAAAAAAACCAAAGGCATTTTGTGCAAAGGAAATGATGAACAAAATAACAGATAACTCAGTGCAAGAAAATAAAAATCAAACCATTCCATTCTCCAATAAACAATTTTGATTCTTGGCCAACATTATAACAAAATAGCACAATAAAATAAAAAGAAAAATCCTACCTTTATCACTTAAAGAGCAGCAATGAGCTAAGAAGCCTGTATCCTGTATCACAAAACTCAGTATGATCAAAACCAAACCTACTCAGATATCAAACACCTACTTAGCTATTCAAGCAAATCTCTCATACAACAATACACAACACACAACCCCTATATATACCCAAACCCACATCAGAAAATAGCACACAGACTCGCTAAAACCCAAAACCACCTCAAATGAACCAACAATACACAAAAACCACAAACCACAAATTTAGAGGTAAACAAGCAAACCCAGATTCCACTTACCTAAAAAGGGTCGATACACACGAGAAAAATACTTGTATTCAATAGACTGATGAGAAAAAAACTATTTAGTACGTTACAAATAAGCAGAGAGTTATTGTAATTTGTCTCCATTGTGGTTGGTGTGGCTGCATTTTGCGTTTGCAAGAAGAGCTGCTGCTGCTTCACTGCCGAGTGTTGTTAAATTGTTAATTTGTGTTTGTGTGCGTCACTGTAGTGTTAGTGGGATGGATTTCCTTTTATAGCCAAACACGGACCAATAATATTTCCTTTGTTTGGCCCATTCCTCCTTATTTTCCTAACCTTATTCACCTTTACCCTCTTTTCTTCAACCATAATCTCCCTCTGGATTCACCAATCACTCCCAGATTACGCATTAAATATCAATTAATCATCACACAAAATTATACTTATTCCATCATTTTTTTTTTCAAATTAAAAAATCAATATTGTTCTAGTATAAATTGCACTAAACATATTCAGTTCAATGTTGTCTACATTCAATTGAAACATAGAAGGAAAGATCATTCAATTTAGTGTAAGGACATAAAGTCGAGACATTAATGTTGTGTGAATATGATTTTAACTAAANTACTTATTCCATTATTTTTTTTTTTCAAATTAAAAAATCAATATTGTTCTAGTATAAATTGCACTAAACATATTCAGTTCAATGTTGTCTACATTCAATTGAAACATAGAAGGAAAGATCATTCAATTTAGTATAAGGACATAAAGTCGAGACATTAATGTTGTGTGAATATGATTTTAACTAAAATCTAAAGATAATGGATAAATATGTGAGTGGCATCCATATGGAACTTTGTAATAAGCTTGCAGTAAGTTTGGTACTCGTCCTTACAGCAGTCCACCCCGAAGTGACCAATTTTTCAAGTCAATTTGGGCATGTTTGGCCGCCTATTTTTACATAATTAAATTAAATTACGAAATAGAAATTCATATATTTTGTTATGAGTCAATAATGATAATAAAACTTACCTTGTCCTTCATTTTTCGATGGGTAAACTCTGAAATATCTGAATGGGTCAAAGGGATCAAACGAACATTATCAGATATCTTCTTCTTTCTCTTCAACTGTAATAAAATAAAATAAATAAAAAATTGTAAGTTTTAATTACTCATAATCCCAATTTTATTCCCTATAGATAAGATTATACAAATTTAAACAGTTGTTAAAAACATATTCATAATCAAGATTAAATATATTTTTAAATATCAATACAAGAGAAATTTGAAAATGAATTTCAATGATCAACTCTTCAATTTGTACCTTAATCTTTTAAACAAGTCTTATTGTTTTCAACGACAATAATATATTCAAATTAAAAACCCACACGCAGAGAGAGATCATAATGTCTACTCTCAAATTTGTAATACATTTAATATAAACAGGATTATGATAATCACTCAAGGAAAAATGATTATTACAAAATACAAATTTCTCAACAATATACATATCATATAAGAAAAATAAAAACCATAAAACACTAACCGGCATAGTTCGGCTCACAATTTTTTGATAGAACTAATTGAGAATTAATATCAACAAATCTGTTTAGATGTTAATTAATCATATTTATAGATAAACTTAAACGAGCGTTACAATATATGAATCATAACGGGTGAAAGTCTGAGAAACCACATTATATTTAAAAGACACGTGGAATACATGCATATAAATAAAGTAATAAAAATGTATAAAAAATATGATAAATTAATTGAACATAACACATGTTATGACATATTATGTTACTAATTTTTCATTTTTCTAATTAATGTGACATTGATTTGCTGGTATGTAGGTGAAGTATGATTTAAGGAAAAATGATGTTTAAAATATGAAAAATTGGATTTTTATTATATCGGTCTATTTGCATAATAGTGAATTTACCACAGATTTAGTATAAAATTAATGTAAAATTATGGAAATTCCATAAATTTAAGACATTAATACGTCATTTGTACACGAAGGCCAAACACAGTCCAAAACCATTTTAGTGGGCTCTACTTGGCCACGTGACAAATCATATTTGTAAAAATTCTTGACACGTGAGATGCATGCTGCTAGGACTCTATGTGGACCCACGCGCTTAAGATGCATGCAGTTCAATGTTGGTCAATCATGGCCAAGCCAACCATAACTCTTGTATTTATCGATTCCACGTGTCACTATGACTTGAACTGACTCACTCCATGTTATTGAAACGTGTCGAATTATTATAGCTGATTGAACGCCCCGGTGAAACAAGCCTATTTTGAAGAAAACAAATATGACTGTCAGAGAGGAAAGGATTTAAAAAAAAAAAAAAAAAAAATTAAGATAGCCGATAGGTGCTGAGAGAAGAGAGAGGAATGGAAGACAAACAGGAAACGCCTAAAACGACGTCGAAGGTACGAAACCGATACTTCCATTCGACTCATGTTTTTCAATAAAAGGTTACCAGACGAGCTCGTATTTTGCTTTGTTGTGTGTCTATTAATTATACGCAATTTCGATTAAAATGTGTCCGTTTGCCGAGAAAATGCAGATGGGAGAAGTAGGAAAAAGAAAGAAATGGGAATGTTTTGTTGTTATTTAGTTTGATGTTTCATGACTCGGGAAACGAGAGAAACGTATGCGTGGCCGAGCCTAAGTACAAACTCCGTTTGGCTCATTTTGAGTTTTGGCTTGTCTTTTTGTTGCTGTAAACCAGAAGAACCATAGGCTTGAAGATTCCTCAACGTTTTGTTTGTTTTGTTGGGGAGGAAATTGTCAGAAAGTTCTGGTTTTTAGGTAATGAGGATTGCCGGTTTTGGTACCCAGAGATGTTCAATTTAATTGAAGGAATGTGTTTTGAGTCTGTCTTAGTTCACTGTGGAACTGAATTGCTTAAAGAATTCATATAGTTTAGAAGAATTTGGTTGGAGTAGATGCTTATGCCGGTGGGTCTTAGCATTAGAATTCAATAATGTTAATGTGTAGAACCAACATTAACGGTGTCCGTTTTGTTATATGGATGCATATTTGTGGTTTGTTTTGGAGTGTTATCTTTGTTTATAATACCAAACTTGTATGAACTGAGCTAATGCAGCTAATAATATACTCTATGTTTTGATCTACATGTAAATGTAGGCACTTGATGTTTATTGCTCTTGATATTTCAAAACATGTCTTGACTTAAAATTTTGGTCTGTTTGGACTGCTCGATATGCAAACTTTAGTAAACAGCATATTTTCTCGAGGTATATCAATAAGATGTGACTATTCTCGTAGGTGTATCTTATGGGTAGGAAGAACTGATTGGATTCATATTTTGAGCTTCCTTTTTGTCCTTGCCTCTAATTCCGCGTAGACATGGGGTATGCAAATGCTAGTTTGACCTGTAAAGTTGGATATTTTCCCCTTTACAGGGTCATTTTTTAAGAATTTTGTGAACCATTTCTTTTAGGAGGTGTGTGGTTCCAAATTGAAAATAACTTTATAATATACATGAAGCAGGAGTTTTACTTGCTTGATTATGCCTTGCCCCATGACTTCAATTGCATGTTTCTTTACGCTTTATTTATGAAGAATCTATTATGTATATACCTATCTGTTCATAACTATTGAGAAATATTTGTTGAGTTTGGGTTACTTGTGCTTCAGTGACTGCACTGTTGATTTCCTGCCTTTTGATTATGTTTTTGATGTTGTTTTCAATTTAAGAGAGAGGAGAATAAGGGCTTGCCCAAACTTCATTCAGAACTTTCTGTCTTTTATTGATATGCAGTATAAATATCTTATTTACCTTTCCAATCGTTCATCAAGAGCTGGTTGAAAAAACACAAAAATGAAACTTCCTTTCCCAATGGGCTGGTGTACTGGTAGGATTTGTCTGCAATTTCTCAAGAAATTTTACTGACTTATCATTGAATTAACTTGACAGAAATCACGTACAGGAGCAGCAGCAGGAGCAGCTAAGAGGTCTATTGATACATATGCTGCTCAGTGTGAAAAATGCTTGAAATGGAGGGTGATTGATATGGCAGAAGAGTACGAGGAGATTAGAAGTAAAATTACAGAAAAACCTTTTGTTTGTGAGCAAAGACCTGGTGTTTCCTGCAAAGATCCTGCTGATATTGAGTATGATGACACTCGAGTCTGGGTCATTGACAGGCCTGGCCTTCCAAAGACCCCTGAAGGTTTTCAGAGAAGCTTGTTGCTTAGAAGAGATTTCTCAAAAATGGATGCTCACTATGTTACTCCAACTGGGAAGAAATTAAGAACTCGTAATGAGGTAGCATCATTTCTTGAAGCAAATCCTGAATACAGTGATGTACCCCTTTCAGAATTCACTTTCACTGTCCCGAAGATAATGGATGATACTATTCCTGAAGATGTTGTGAGAAAGGGCTCTGCCACTGCTGATGGTAAGAAAAGAGGTAAAACATCAAAGGCTGTTGTTTCAGCTGGAACTGCTGGGGATTAACTGTTAGCTGCCCTTCATTTATTTTTTTCTTGGGCCACGTATTTCTGGAGTTACATTATCGAGAATTGATTTTTGTGCAATTGAGCTGCTCATGTGTCGATTGTGAGTAGTACGAATCAAGACTTAGTTGAGTAGTGTGTGGTACAATTGAACCGCTCACCTTGCCTTATGTTTTTGTTTCTGTTTTATCGGCACTGTTCTATTATCAGAAAGGATAATTAGGGAAAAAGGTGGTAACATTTGACTAAATTTTTTGGTAGAACCATGGCCTCAGAAATAGCTAGTGTTATGGTGGAATTATGGTGTGGCTAATGCTATAGTAGTAAATATGATGTTAATAAATTTTGCTTTAGGATTTTTTTTTTTTTTCATTATGGTTGCATGCATATCCTTGTTAATGTTTCAAGGACCATGTGATCCAATTTAGCGTAAAAGAACGAGTAGAGGCACAGGTGGAACATAATAGTTTAAACAAGCCCTTATCTATTACTCTATTTAAGGCCATGTTGATCAAAATGAAAGGCGTTGGATAATTCCTGAGTCAGCTGACAATATTTTCATCCCATTTAATTTAAGAATGGTTTGCTTTGATACTGCAAAAATCAATTAGTGAAAATTCTGTGCATTGGAGATAAACCCATTTTTTATTCGAAAGTAAATACATATTTGTTAAAAAAAAAACAGAAAAAACCTAGCAACTGAGAAATGACAATGAACATGCAGTTGGATCAAAGGTTCTATTTGCATGTCTGAAAAATGTACGACTCAACTCTATTTAATATTGTTGAAAAGGACACCAGTGCATAAGAAATATTCTTTCACTTTCCAATACCCTTAACAGATTGTACAATACCTGTGTGGTCTGCAGATTATATATACATGGAAACTTCAAAATCCTATGTTTAAGCCCCTGGCCGAAGAATGATACCTTCAAGACATTTCTTACGGTCACAAATTGAAGAATCGGTATTTGTTTGACCATAGAGTGTAGGTTAGGTCCTATGCAGCATGAACAGTTTCAGCTTCCACAACCTAGTCTGGTTGGTGTACTCGAGCAGCATGTGTGGCGACTGTAAATTTTCACTAGTGTCCAGTAAAGGACCTCTTCAACTCCATGCTCACCCTGCTCCTTTGCGAGTATATATCCTCACAGATGGCTACAACCTACATCAACAAAATATAACCAGGTTTTGGTTAGGAGAAGAACACCGAGTCAACAAGTGCTTCTCCATTAACCTCTTTAGGCATCAAGGATAAAAATCAAAGCAAACTGACAAAAGCAACTACAGGACACATTTATGCTTTAAACCAAAAAGGAGGCAATTATTTACTTGTACATGAAAATTGAGAAACTTCATGTGAAGGACTCATGACCAAAGGAAACCTCCAAAATGTGAATCTAATTTGTTGTTTCTATCTAAACATAAGTAAAAGAAGAGAAGAAAAATCATTGTTGCATTTTCACATTTACGGCATCCTTTATTGTTGCAAATAAGAATAAAAACAGGGCCTCAGAAGTCAGAACAATTATGCATTTACCTGTCACAGGAAGGCAGATTCTCATAAGGGATTCTCATTCTTAAGTCGGAGCATTGAAGTCTGATAAAACGGCCAACAGCAAGCACAAAGGTTATGTAGAGACCCCAAATGCTGAACTTGCTGAGAGTGTCGCCAAGAATACCTTCTGAAGCATTTTTGTAGCATTAATAACAATATGAAAGAAAAACCATAACATGCCATTAAAAGATACACGTGACATAATGTTTTTCTAAACTTACGCGGTGGTGTTTCCTCAGAGACTACAACTGCTATGGGCCCTGTCAAACCTCCACAACCCCTTATATCGGATGAGTTGATATCATGGAAGGACCACCAACTGTAATCTGCACGATTTAGAACAAGATCTGCACTAACTCCATTTACCTGTAAGATAAAAATATACAGTTTTTTATTAGTAACTGTTCTAAGGTTGCTCATAACATTGTTTTATTAACACTGATACACCATAGACTAGTCTCTATGTAACATTTAACATGAGCCACTTTTTTACCCCACTAACTGAGAAGTTAGTAGCTTAAAGTGATTTTTTTGATATTTGACATAAAAATAAAACCCAAAATTTTAAAAAAGGCTTTTCAACTAAAATTTTGAAGATGAACAATTGTAATAAAGGCAAACAACCTAAAAATATCAAACCCTTCTAATCAGCAGCATCAATATAACTTGACCACTAATCATCGTAGTAAAGCATCACATGATGCCAAAAGCTGATTTATACAACAGAGATGAGTTTATTTAACAGTGAGAAAGAGGAGAGAAAGCTAAGATCAAGAGTTTCACCTCTGGTTCAAAAGGTCTGACATCACCAGAACCAGTAACACGAAAGTATCTTGGATAAAGATTATATATGATAAAGCTGTTAGCAGAACCATTGAGGACTTTTTGAACATCTGAGGGTTTCGGAAGATCCTGAGCATAAACATCTTTTTCATATTTCACCACTTCCTTGCCTTTAGGTCGATCTCTTGTAAGTACCCAAGTAAAACTAATATCAATATCCTTATCCCAGTCAAGGGACTGGATAAATCTAGTCTGAACCACGTCAGGAACAAGCCACAAAATACTTGCATCCGATTGACAGCATATTAACTGAATATCATTCTTATTATATGTATCCAGATAATTATGGGGATCAAGATTAACTTCAAAATTGAAGTTATCCCATTCGAGCTTTTCACAGAGAGTGGTTTGATACAATGTCAACCTTCCACCCTTAGTCTTAATATCAATTTGAACACTGGCATCTTTAATGGGGTTTGCAATGTTTGTTGGATTACCACTGCTGTACATCTGTAAAGGGAAAAATTATAACATTACAAGGATTAAAACACAATTGTTTATATTTTATCTTCCTAGCAGTAAATAAGGCAAGCATGCATGTTTTAAGCTCATGAATAAAATGAAGGTTTTAGATTACAAACAATGGTGACACTCTTAGAAATTGCAAGTCCTGAAATTTACTCTTTTATTGAAACTTATCACAAAGCTCACTATTCATATCTTTCTATATAATTCTAGTAACTAAAAGATGGAAAGCCAACTGCCTTCACAATTTTAATTTAAAAGTTGGTTTCGGGTCTACATTCCTACAAAAGATGAAATTAAAAAAAAAAAAAAAATTATTTGCTAGAGGACTTGGCATAAGAGTTTCATCATACAAATGGTGCTACGTCTTTACGGTTCTTACCAGCATAGGAGCCCATATAGTACAGATTAATATGAAGAACAGACATATGCCATTGCAACATTTGGTCATTAATGTTTGCTTCTCTCCTTGTTTGTGCTTAGCTCTATTCAAGACTGCATCACATTTGACGAGGTACAGACTTGCGTGTATGTCCTCCAGCTAGGGATAGATCATAGAACCATATATCAGCTTCAGAACTAAGCAAGAAAATAATCCAATCAAATTGCAATTGCTAAAAATAGAAAACTAAATGACCTAACTAGCACGTGATGGTTTATTCTATGACAAAAATGTTCCAATAATTTAAAGAATGGTAGTCACAAAGTTAGCAGTTACTAGCATGTTCTGTGTCAATGGCAAATTATGATGTTAAAGGATACAAAGGATGCTCTATGTCAACAGCAAATAATGATGCTAAATGATATAACATTACAGGGACCACTGCAAAGAAATAACATAGACACAGTAATCCATTTTTGAGAAATAACATCACTGAACTTCTAAGCAATTCATATTTAACAATGATACTCCTTCTACTATCCTCTTTATGCAGAATGACCCTATATAGGGTTGGGGACGGGGTGTCGAGGATGGGCACCAATTAAGAACAAGAAAAGGTCAACTAACTGGGATGTCAGATGGCGGGATAGAATGATGAATAAAATCTAAACTTTGACTAATTGGGTTGAATTGGAAGTGGCCACAAAAGGCAAGTTGGCCTATGGTCTGAACTGTAGGAAGAGAATAAATATTGTCAGGAAATCAACCCATAAACTTAAGTCATACTGTCAACATATCAAATGGTATTACATATGAATACGGAATTATTAAACACTCTCAGTCACAAGCAAACCCAACAAAAAACATAACCAAAAGGGCCAGGCATGGACCAGAACCTAAACCAGACAGGAATAACCAAACAAAAGGAAGAAAATCAAACTTGGTTATGGTAACATGCTATTTAATCCAATACAAAAGCTCAAGCTAATTAGGCTGAGTCCCCAACTATAGTATAAGCAGCCACATGAAACCCACAATGAATAGTAGACCAATATGGGATATACACAACACTCACAGAGATGGCTTTTTGTGGCCTAAAGTTAGAAGCCTAATGCCTTAGATCTCTATTTAAAGAAGACTGAGGTAGACCGAGGCCAACTAAACATGGAAGAACTCATTGGTCCTCTTAAGCTAATTCAAAGTCAAATGTGAAAGCTGCAAGCCTGCAACTACCAGCATATCCCCATCAGACTCATTTGACATGGTATTCACTACTCAGCCAAGATATTTCTTAGCCCAAAAGGGCTGATCTAATGTATTACTTATAAAACTTCCTATGATAGTAAAACACTTGTAAAGTTCTACTTCTGGATTTTGTACTCTATAATGAAAAGAACAGTATAATACTGCAGGTAACCATAGAAATGGCGGTGCATAAATTAACAGCCACAGGCTTAACTCAAAAATGCAAACTAAATTTATTGTAATGCTATAATATAATATCATACTTACCTTCAGCCAGTCATACATGGTCAAAGATGTGGATGTGCATGACCAGTCAAGTACACATCGCAGTTCATATAGGAATGGTAGGGCACGATACAATCTATAGCCAAGGTAATTAATTTGTGAAACTTCACTTGTCAAAAACTGTCGATACAAGGTGCTTTTGTGAGGAATCCCACACCGGATTTGTATTGCCTGTAGTGCTAGAGAAACTGCTTTTGCAAGAAATATAGCACGTAGAGCTAACCCTCCAGCATGTTGATGGGAGGGCTCCATGTGCCAAGCATACTCTGTAACTGAATATGTAAAGAGAATAAGGTTGAATAGATAGAAAATCACTTTTCCTGTGGCAAATGAGCAAAGGTAAATTATGCGATCAAGAACAATCAGGAAGAAGATGATCTGCATGAAGAAAGCATTTCTTTGGTTAGATTAATTGACAATGTGGAATAACCCAGAATGCAAGAACTGACAACTAAAACACCAAAGCTTCTCTTGAATTCTGATATGAAAAGTATGACAAAAAAAAAAAAAAAAAAGCAAAGAAGGATAAAATTACCATTAAGATAAATACAAACTCCTTCGGAAACTGGTCTTCAAGCTGGTAAACATCAAGAAATTCACTTTTATTTTTTATGACAGATTGGTAAAAAATGGCAACTAGGAAGAATACAGTCAAATCAGCACAAAAAATGTAGGCATAGAGATCAATTTCTCTTTTGCCTCCCCCAATTACAGAGAGTATTTGGTATGGAAATCCCAAGTCTTCAACAAACCCAGCACTTTGTCCTTTAAGAATCTCTTTCGCTACATCGGCTGCAGGAGTTAGTGACTTGTACCACTCTGCTGAAGCACACCCAGACAATGGTGAGGCATACACCACCTCCAAAACAACCAACGCAACATTTGGGTTTTCCAAACTTCTTTCAATGCTTTGAACATTAACGCTGCTAGTGAATGGGCAAAGACTCGGGTTTTTTTCTGTGCATCTCTCATCATGAACAATTTTGAGCAATTGGTTTATTCCAGACTCGACCCTCTCTGGCTGTATCCCATCTTCTGGCCACAAGTGAACATCCATAGATAGCTGGACAAAGTAAGGAGGAGATTCTGCTCCCTGAGTTAGTGATGTCCAGTACCTGAAGAATCTTCTGATTATCAATTTTACACCATTTGTGATTAGTTGGAGCAGGGCCTGGACCCTTTGGCTCCAACTATAATTCACAAGCACGACTTTCCCACTGAAAGTACTTCTCCTACGAAAATTGAAGTATGTCGAGGGTATCCATTCACTGTCTTTCGCAGTTATAGACCTCTGTAAGAGGGTAAATAAGTAGACAAGAAAAAGAGGCAATGAACTGATAACAAACGACGCACTGATTTTCTGTGAGGGAAATCCTAATGCTCGCAGCAGATGTGAATTAATACTTAACCCACAGTGCTGGATAATAATTTGGTATAGATACTGAGCCAAAATATACATTTCAGTGTAAATTAGCATGATAACCCAGAAGAAGCAACTTGGGCCAGTATGCACACATAGAGCATACAAGAACAGTGCTGCAAGATACACCATTGAAAGCAAACTGAAGTTCCATAGAAAAACAAGAACAAAGCAGCAATAACACACAAAATCATTATTAGATCGCATTTGGGACCATATGTGACGGAATATCCTTCCTATCTGCAAACTTGTAGTATCAGAACTCTTGTCAGACTGCACCGAAGATGAACGATCCAGAGACATGTGCCTCGTATTCTGGCTCTCCATTTCATTGTATGCCTCATCCTCAGCAGTGGATGGCTCAGTCATGTCAGAATCTTCTGGAGTGATGTTCAAGAAGTTCACAAGGTTGTTAACAGCCTGATTTCCAATAGACTGTACCTGGGAAACTCCATCCCCAATAAGTTGTACTGCAGAAATTAAAGGATTTTCCTTTGCTTGGCCTTTCACATTTTTGTTTGAATCAAAATATGCAGTGTCAGTAAAATCTTGTTCGATCTCGGTGATTTCACAGAGAGGCGACCCCAGTGAATACTTTGGAGACTCCATTGCAGCAGGAATTTCGGTGTTGACACTAGTAGGTAATTCATGCACTTCAAATAGGAACTCCGAATTTGCTTTTACAATCTGCTCTTGCTTCCTGATAGGGTCTTCTCCTTTGATTGTGGCCCCAGATTCAATATTTGCAGAAAGAGAAGTACTCCTCCTCCTTCTCAGGCCTTCAGTATCAGGAGTAATTTTACCACCATTAGCAATCGAGTTCATGCTGTGAAGCTGTATTTGCAAATTGAGCATCTCAGATTTCATCTTCTCCACTTGCAAGTGACGCTGGCGTATTGTTTCCTCGCTCTCACGAATATGCTGTAACTGTGCAGTTTTCCAGGCAGCTTTCTTCTCTTGCTCACGCACAATGGCACCAATTTGCTCTGCCTCAAGATACCGTGAGACATAATCAAACTCCTGGGAAGAGAACATGTATGATTGAAGTGATACCAACATGAATATGATAATCTCAACAAGCGCAGATCTTGCAGTAATACGGAAGCCATAGTCATACTTATAAAATCCAATCATCTCAAATATATAGTTTATCGTTTCATACTTCCCCAAACTAAATTCCCCCACAAATGGGGACTGATAAGCAAGAGAAAGAATGATTAGGGCAAAGTTGTATATACGCAAGACCTTGAATATTTTGTTCTTCTTCTTCAGGATTTCAAGTCTCATCCGAAAAAAAACAAGAGCAAAAGCAAGATAACCAAGGTGCAGAATGTCATACTCCAGGGTTCCAGTAATCAAAATCAATGCAAGCACAAGATCCAATAGATGGCAGTAACAGTAAAGCCTCAGATAGTCAAGAAAGGTCCACATGCTTTTAGTTTCAAAGGAAAGATCCCTCCAAATGAATGAGTTTTTACATTGAGAAATCATTTGATGATATGATGATGAGCCTGAGAAACTTGACACAAGATCAGCACGGAGCTTGAAACAAGCAAGCATGAAGACTGTAAAATAGCTGATAAGCATCCGGGGATCATCAACCACCAGTCCTATAGAAAAGTGCACCCATTTAGCTGATTAAATTAAATGACTTTAAGCACCATAAAACCCAAAAATAAACAGAAGTAAATAAATATACTATCGATAAGACAATTAACATAAATGGCTTAGAATGCACTTCCAGAATTAGGCCAACTTAAAGGAACCAACATAACGATTATGAGCTGAAGGTAGAGAAAACCTCCGGAAAAATCTTTGGGGATTCTTATCAACCATATATGCTAGTAGTTCTTCAGACATTAAGGATATTCAAACTAAAAAAAGAAACAAATAGTTTGAGCTAAAAATCAGGCATGTAAAATTTCTTACAAATAGAAAGAAAATAAGTAGCATATCTATCCATCTCTACGGGTATACATAGAGGTGAAAGTGTTGGTTGGGCTAAAACACTGTTAACAGAATAAAAAACACAGACACATACACACACTAAAGTAAATTGTTTTGAGAGTAATACCCAGCCAACAATTCTTGCAATATTGGAAATTTTGAGCTGAGCTTCTCCAGCAGTCATGGCAGCGTACACTAGGGGCACCTGTGATATGTTGATTCAAAGGCGACATATTCTTCCAGATGGCAAAGTATTCCAGGATGAGAACGGTAGCAAACAAGAAGACCAATATGGGCCACAATTTACATATAATTCGCTTTTTCAGAAGAACATAAGCAGCAAGCAATGCAATGTACAGCAAAGAGATGGCATTCAACAGAGCAAAACTGGCAAGAAGCAGTGCAATCATGTTTAGCTCAAGGCCAAAGAGATTAAACACGTTCTCTATCCAAAACTTCATATATATTTTTAAGAGGGTCTTTTGTGTTTCAAATCTCTCCTTTCTCAATGCAAGAATACACTTCTTGTTCCACTTATGACTCTCCTTGGTGCTCCCCCAGATATATCCAAATGAAAATATTTTAGTGCCACTACCCTCAGAACCTCCCGGTTTGGAGGACACAGAATTAGGTGTGTGAGCCTGATGAGAAGTGAAAGATGGCCATGAATTACTTGTCACACTTTTTCGTTTGAGAGAGAGAGCACAGGGATCTGGTGATGGCTTATTTTCCTCATCAGAATGAGAAGCATTAATGAGGACATCTTCGGCTGAGACAAACAGTGGACAAGGCTCCTCCCACTTTCCTTTGTTTAAAATACTACTAGGCATCTTCTCCAACCAACGGAAGACATTGTACTGAAGGGTACATGCAGCAATCACGAGCACTTTTCCCCTCAAGCCTGATTCTAGGCCCCAAAAACCGGGCTTATATACATGCAAACCCAAAAAAAGGGATAAATCAGAGTGCTTTTGCCCAGGAAACATCCCTGCTTGTTTTCCCCACATCTGAAACAGATACTCAGTTGTTACTAGAAGCCCTGTGTAAATTAAGGATGATTTGGATGGGATCCGAGAAGCTTTAGGCAAAGTTGAAAAGATGACAACGCCAAGTAGATACACAAGGCCAAATGCACTAATTGGAGATAAAGAAGCATAGAACAATGCAACAAACAAGATCTTCTGGCTGTGCCAAACTAGAAACCGTTTGATGAAACCTGGTAAACCAGAATGCAAGAGATTGGAATCATCTAGCCTGTTATACTTGCTTTGTCTCCTTTCATAACTATAAAGTTGCATCACAATCAAGACTGCTAGAGATTGCCAAACATTTTTCAGCAAAGAAGCTTCTGAATTGTAACCCAAGTAAATATCAAGATCTGTTAACCTGGACAACCAAATCTGAAAGCTGGGGAAACTACTCAAGCTATAGATGAACACAAACACCGTAATAGCATATGCTTTTAAAGGGAACCATAGGCGTCTTTTTGTTTTCTCAACAAGTTGCCTTCCAATAATCCACACAAGGAGAAGGAAGATATACCCAAACGATATATAATTGGGTGTCACTAGGTACACTGTGAAGAGAATAGTAAGAAAAGCAATGTAGGTCCCACATGATCGGTACATTGAAAGAAACTTCTGCCCAATTGTACTAAGAAACGATGCTATCCTTCTCTCTGGAAGAATGTAAAAGAAATGACTGATTAGTAGAATGAAAGTAGCAGCAAAAGCAGTAGTGCAAGTGAACCAGTCAGAAAGAGCAGGCAAGCAACCAACTACAGTAAGTTAGGTTTTGATACTGCTATTCTTTAGAACTTCAAGGGTATAATGTTAACTAATACAGATAATAACTATATTCTCATTATAATATCTAAAAGGAATACATAATCTCTTGTAGGGTTGGCATCAAGCTCAATACTGGTCATAAAACATCAAACCATGGAAGATCCAGCTTGATTCTGCTAATTAGCTCCATATATTTGACATAAGGCTTATTGGTTTTATTTCCACTTCATGCAGTAGTGCAAGTGAACCAGTCAGAAAGAGAAGGCAAGCAACCAACTACAGTAAGTTAGGTTTTGATACTGCTATTCTTTAGAACTTCAAGGGTATAATGTTAACTAATACAGACAATAACTATATTCTCATTATAATATCTAAAAGGAATACATAATCTCTTGTAGGGTTGGCATCAAGCTCAATACTGGTCATAAAACATCAAACCATGGAAGATCCAGCTTGATTCTGCTAATTAGCTCCATATATTTGACATAAGGCTTATTGGTTTTATTTCCACTTCATGCAGTAGTGCAAGTGAACCAGTCAGAAAGAGAAGGCAAGCAACCAACTACAGTAAGTTAGGTTTTGATACTGCTATTCTTTAGAACTTCAAGGGTATAATGTTAACTAATACAGACAATAACTATATTCTCATTATAATATCTAAAAGGAATACATAATCTCTTGTAGGGTTGGCATCAAGCTCAATACTGGTCATAAAACATCAAACCATGGAAGATCCAGCTTGATTCTGCTAATTAGCTCCATATATTTGACATAAGGCTTATTGGTTTTATTTCCACTTCATGCTAACCTCAACTAGCTTACAATTGAGGCTTTAGTCAGGTTGTTTGTTTTAATTTTTAATTTTTTTTTTTTCTGTTTAGTCCAGGAAATAAACTTTCTCCACCAAAATAACAATTAATTTCAACCCATTCCAAAAGTCTGCAGTTTATCAAATGGATATTTTCATACCAATGGTAAAACAAAAACTTTTAAGAAGACAGTCAGACTTCTGAGCCTACCAAACTGCATAATTATAGCACTCTCACGTTTATTAACATAACTTAAAATACTTGGATGGAGTAAATACTTGAGTTATCAATTTGCAACTACTTCAGAAAATTTGAAACGAATTCTGAATTCTTCTGCAATTCTATACAAAGTCAAACAATAAGATTAGAAAATATGGATGAAATTATACCATAAGAAGGATTATCATGGCTGTATTTTGTCGTCGAGGAAGCATACACTGACAAGAGGACTGATTTGCTCAGACCAGCTTTTAAAATACTAAATCCAACTGGAGGGCTAGGGGTATGCTGCACAATTGCTGAGAATGAAAATAGCATCTCAAAACCATGGTTATGAATTGCACAGAAACAAACAAGCAAAGCTATTTCCAAGAAATCCCAGGAGCTGTCTTGTTTGAGAAGACCTGCACCAATTCACATAAAGATTGAATAATTTAATGTTTAACCTTCTTGCTGAGACCTTAATAATGGATATAGATATAAAAGATAAAAATTGTCTCCTAAAATCAATTGAAGCCATAACCACATTCGCGTAATATAACAACTCAAATTGGATGGACTGGAACAATAGCATACCCAGCTGTAAAAGAATTTCCATACTTAGAGAGCCTTTTTGCTCGAAAGCATTAGAGATCAAATCAATCTGAAGAATGTACAAAAGTGCAAAATGAGCTTCACACAGAAGAATCAGGGACTCGCGTATCTTTCTGCTGATGTTGTGGCTCAAAAGATATATCAGAAAGAATATCACTGAAAACACAAGTCAATACAGCACCAATTAGAAATGTTCCATAAACTCATGTCAAAGCATAAAGTTGTTATCCATTTTTATGTTACTATGAGATGAAGGATCAAAAAGCCTTGTAAGGAGGGTCAATATTAAAAATTAATAACAAAGCAGAAAACAACTTGTTTACATACTATACACAGCATGGACGAAACCAGGTTTCATTGCAATGATAAATATAAGCGCCAACATGACAGCCCTAGAGCATTTGCACAATCCCCAAGCAATTGTGGCTACAACAAATACCTTGGTCTCTTGTTCCACTGTAACAGAAGGATACAAAGAGAAAAATATGTGTATGTCAGGAAATGAAAACCAGTGATGAATGAGTAGAAATTAAAGATATAAAGAAGGGATGACTAAAATGTTGTATTCCATCACCTTCAACAGTTGAAGGTTCATTAGAAGATCGCCAATCCTCATCAGACAAGTAGAGGAAAACAGAGTTGTTCACAAGATTACCCAATGCAACCAAAACGCCAAGACAGAATTGAGCAAGCAGAAAGAAACCAGGTATGGGATAATGCCACAGCCCAACCATCTCCCAAATTTCCATGTCCTGCATATGAATCCAAAAAATGAATTTCAACAATTTTTTGTATAGTGTAGAAGATTAAATTTCGTGCCTGAAGAGAAAACTACCTTTCCAAGTTTCCAATTCAAGAACACAAATGCTACATTGAAAATGTATGTGCTAACAGCCCATAAGAGAATGAAGACAAGCAGCATCCCATTTAACCGGTGCAAATGGAATAAGGAAGGGAAGGCATATATAATGTAGCCAACATATGCAAGTAGCCCAAATGCACAGACACTTGCAAAATGGAAGCTCCAAAAGGAAAGAGCAAACAAGGAGACCTGTCAGATATACACCAGAAATTTTCTTCAAAAAACAATAAACAGGGATATATACAACTGGAAATGAAATTGAAATAAAAACTTATATGATTAAGTCAACAGCTATTGTGATGACCGTATGACAGCTTGAAATTCTTTAGCTAATTGAACAATAGACAAGTTCAGAAAGCAAATGACAATGTCATTAATATATACCGGAAAACCGTACGTGAAGAAGTTGATACTAAATGTTCGAAAAACTGCTCCCCTTAACAAAACGTTTGAATGCCGAATGCCAGATCTGCAAATATAACATCTAAATTCAAAATAAAGAGTTTTTTTTGACAAAGAAAAGTATCCAGGGGCAAATGAACATCTATAGTTCAGTAAACCTTAACAACAAATTAAAAGCACCAACACATGAAGTAAAAAGCATCTTGTTAGAACAACAAATTACAAAGCAAATCAAAACAGGACATGATCACTCAAAGGGATTTCAATCCACTTCATCCTCCAATCTATTATAAATATGCAAAGTCATCCATCTTCAATCTGGAACCTTTAACTTTTTTTTCTTTTAACTTAACTTCCTCATGTTTATCTACCTTTTTCTGGGACTCAATTCTTATGATCTTAGGTAGATTTTGACCATTCATCAATTTCACTATTTATAGATAAAGAAAACTCCCAGTAACTGCAACAATGAAAAGGACAGTGAGACATCAGATATGCAGGGTAAGAAAAAAAATTCCAGCAATTTGACAATGGTTCTTAATGAGGACCGCTTAGTACCATCTCTCCAACACACATTGCATTATCTAAGTAGTTTCTCCATCAAATTGAATTGAAATGGCTGGCAGAACATGTAACTGTGTAATGAGATCTTGCATGTAAAACTTTACAAAAAAGTCGCAATCTTCTGAATTTAAAAGGATTGATGATTAACATATTCTTATGATTTATTTTTCATAAACCTATAAATTACTCCCACGCAAAATGCATAAAAACATCATTACTTAAGGACTCAAAACAAAAACCAAGTCCAACTTAAGGACACATAGTTCTAACTCTTGCAGGCAATGCCAAGTTAATTGTATGAGTATCAGATTTTTAGATACTGAAGTACAGATGCAAAAAGTGGACACAGCATAAGAACCAGAAAGAATATGAATCTTTCAAGCTTATTACCTTGATTCACGAATGAAAAATGAATGTTTGGACGGCAGAAGTTGCTCTGTCAAGCTACTTTCTCTAGAGGACATAATAAAATCCATTTCCTCCAAATCACATCTAATCCAACATAGCTGCATCAGTGGGCAGAAAGTTAAGTGTACAAGCAAGCACCCAAGAGGGAAACAATAGATATGCAAAAGAAATGTTATCACAACAAAACATTTTAATTTCATACAAATTGCACAGATATTTTTAGTTTACCATTTCAACTTCTCAATGCATATATTTTGTTAACATAATCCAAGGCTGAAATTTGTAATTGGGGTGTGGTTCTATTGTTGTAAAGTAAAATTTTGGGCTACCATTTACCAGTAGCCAAAAATGATATCAACAAGAATGACATTTGCTACAAAAACACCTTCCCACCAGTAATTTATGCTGTCTTACATCTTCTGAAAAAATAGAGCTAAAATAAGGGAGCACTATGTGCAAAGTATTGCTTTATTAATTCAAATTTGCATGAACACTCTGATAAACAAACTACAGGCAAATCAGACCTACACTGTCCGTATACTATAATTTACCTCAAGATTATATTTCGTATACAGTCCACAACTTAATCTAGTTACTAATTCATCATTCACTTTCAGCACTGAACCTAATCATGTCTGTAAGGTGCCCCCACATACAGTCCCCAACATTCAAGCTTGCATATCTGGTAAAAAAACTACAATCAGAAAGAAATTTTATAGAATATAGCAATATAACATATAAGAATTGAACAATAGATTCTAAAGATATAAGGAGAATCATTTTCGCTTCCTAAAGTGATTTTCCAACTAATTTTAAACAGAAATGACTTTATATTAGCATTACGGATACATACCATGATATAGAAAAGTACAAGAGAAAACCCACAGCAGATTTCGGGCCACTCGGACCTTGCAGATATTTTAAACAGACCAATAAAATCAGCAACCCGTAGAAAAATATTTGGGAAATTTACTGGGAGCTGATAGACATAAAGTAGGACGATGTTAAAGCCTGCATACAGCTGAAGAGGCCTCCACCACCTGAGAAACCACACACACAAATGTGAGCCAACAAAGACACCAAAGGCTGTTCATCAAAAGAAAGAGATAAAGTGATGAAGACATCACTCAGCAATGTGTAGACAATCGAAAACAATAACCTGAAAAGTCCAAGAATATTGCTGGTTAAAGACCAATCTACAACACCAGCACAGCTGCCAATAAAAAATGGTAGAGAAACCCATGAAGGATGACTAATTCCCACAACCAGTTGAACAGCGGGCAACATCAAACAGGAAGCAACCCTAAGATGAGAACCTGTCAAATTGCAGAACACAAAATAATTCCAAATCAATTCATTTAAAAGAACAAAAAAGTAAAAATAAAATCTATTTGAGTAAAGATTAAAATGTTTTTACAACGAACAAAAGTTCAGGAATGGATTAGCAAGCATGAGCAGATTATGAATATGAACTACATAAAATTAAAATTGAAATGGAAAGCTGAATACAAATGACTAAAAACCTAGGAATTTCCAACCCTTGAGAAAGAAAAGAATGAAACGACAGAACGTCTCCTCTTTTAGAATATACTGATGATTCAAAGTCATTTAGGCATTATTCAGGTTACAATTTTGATAGACTAGTCCGCAAAACAGCTTGCTAGCATGGCAAAGATCTTAGTTATGTATATTTTGAGAGTGTATTAGAATATTTAGTGGCTTGACAAGGGTGGCTTCATTAGTTGGAACCATATTGAAGAGTTTTCAATAAGCAGCTATATTTCTAAATAAAAATCATCTTTCATAAACAACTACAGAATTCAAAGTAAAATGATGGCAAAGAGAATGCCCCCAAAGAAGGAAGTTGATTCGGTAGATGTTCAAGCACTATACTATAAACTTTTGGGTCAATTCAACTTGACACATGGCTTCACAATGTCTTTGAAATCGTTCAAGTGAATTATATACAAAATATGTAAGCAGCACATAGAAAAGAAAATCACTGGAAATATTGTTTTCAGAATTTTTCAATCAACTAAAAGGACCACCAGATGACAGTCAAAGACTTTTGCCTCAAATTGCAGAGACCACCATAGGAAATAATAACCTTTCTAGGGCACCAAACCACATTCAGCCTACTCTCATCCTAAAGGTTACTAAAATAGATAACACAGATTCATAGCAGTAAATTTATTGAGCACAGCATTGGGCAAGGATGATGTTAAGTTATCACTTGACTCAAAAGTTTAAACAGATAGGTCAAAGCTCAACAATAATAAATATTTTTAACCTCTAATAACACCCCTCATGTGCTTTGCACATTGATCTCAACAATAATAAAAAAATTTAACCTCTAATACGCCCTTCATATGCTTCGCACATTGATCAAACAAAACCACAACCATAATCACCTATAATATATAAAATATACAATGCGGAGACTCGAACACAAAACCACTTAATAACTTAGGTTTTCACCAGACCAAAACCTTAAGTTGCCAGGTCAAAGCCCAAAATAGATTTCAGTTTAAACTCTAACAATATGTAATCAGGATGTTTTGCTCCTCTCCTTGGTACATCATAATTAAACAACACCAATAAGTTCCTATATAAGACATTGCATAATGCAAATTTATGCAATAATCAATGAAGCAAACAGTAAAACAGCTATTGAATAGACAGAGATGACCAAGTAAAAGAAGGAAAATTGAAAAAGAGCAAACTAAGCAACACAAGGGCAATAATTAGAGTTTTAATGAACCACTTACAAACCTAAATGTTCAACAACTGTTAAGAGATGACCCCAACAGGAATTCTGCCATGGCTCCGGATCAAATTTGTTCAAGTATATATCAACTAAAGCAACAAAAACAGATAATAGTTGGGCAACCAAGAAATATATTACAGAGGGGGATCTCCAGGACTGGACTCTGCAAAAGCATATAAGAAAGAGACAAGACATCAATTCATAAAGAGGCAAAAAATGAACAAACGAATGAGATTAAAATGAAAATTAATTCTTACATCATAAAACCAATAAGCTTTGCCCACCAAGCGTCTGCTATACTCCATTTATAACCCTCAAATGTCCATACTATAATATATATCACTTGACAAAGAATAACAAGTAGAGAAAAGATAATGACAGGCCAAAGTAACAAAAATCTTCTTCGAAACTGAAATCCTACAGAAAAGAAAAATGTTATATTAGTGAATTAAATTAATAGGAAACACAGCAAACAAACAAAATGAATAGATGAATTTGAGAATGCAACAATTAATTATGTGTCATTTATACACCAACACAATCATGATTCAAAAACCTAAAATTAAAGTTAAAAAATAATTCTTTTTCTTCTTGGAAAGTTATAATTATTTACGATATAATTTAAAATGTAGTTAGTTGCTTGTGAAACTAAGCCAAACACTTAATAAAGTGGATTCAAATAAAAATGGACTTATATAAATTCCCAATCTAAAATGACAAGGCTTCTTGCCAGTTCACTAAAGCTACTCTTACAAAAGTTCTCTTATATTATATACACTGCAATGTAATTTGTCCATTTTACCATAGACAAACTTGAATATTTGACAACATGTCCATGCCATAAAGGGTATCATGGACCATGCATGGTTGCAGTTAAATGGTTAACCTGCACAATAATCCACATCAGGTGATAGCAATCCCTATCTATAAGTGACTTATTTCGATCCAAGACTTCCTAACTTAAGAAGGAAAATTAGAACAAGTTGTAAGAGCAACAATCATTATGAAAGGTCTCTTATGTACATCCATCAATGACATGGCAAAAATCATTACATAAATATTTGATAATTGATCTTGAGACCCAAAAAAAAAAAAAACCCTCAACCCCTGCCCCTAAACCTGTAATTCAGGACCCAAAAAAAAAAAAAAAATTGAATGCGAAACATCAATATTTGCGTAGGTTCACACAATACTCAAACTGATGAAAGCAGTAACACTGAAATCAAACAGGTAAATCTTACACAAAATTGGTTACCTGATTTTGGAGCAGTAAATTGAATAAAAAGGAAAGCTATCAAATCAACAAGGGAGATCAAACTCCAATTGACTAAAGCAGCTGCAAGAAACAGGAAAATGTAAGTCAACAATTATTCTGCCCATGAAGCAGGCGGACATAAATACCCTTCTACAAAAATAATGCTTCGGGTTTGAGAACATCAATTCACACATACACCTAACAAAGAGAGGGTTACAAATTGATGCATCATATCTATAAATAAATAGACACAAAAACACAAACACAAATAGAGAAACACGTGTAAAGAACAGAGCACAATATTAGATATGGTTCTTAATTGTAATAAGTATAACAGCCTGAGTGTAACTTCACGCAATCATTATCATTCACCCAAAATTGTGTATTTAGTTGAGGCAGTCCAATGCTTATAAACTAGTGTAGACTTTAATTCACTAGTAGAGGGGAATGTGACAATAAATTTTGTATCTACGACTCCATGCTGAGAGTAGGCAATGTTCTTTTCCTTTTTTTTTTCTACAGATTTCAAACTTGAAAGTTTAAATCAAACCCCTCTCCGCCATATTGTGAGTGGGATTCGATGCATATACGTTGCAGGAACTTGCAAGTTTTGGCATTCCACCTACATATTTCTTTCCTTTCTAAGTTCCAATGTACAGCCTGGAACACCTTAGACCAAGACAACCCTCAAGTAGGAAATAGACAGCCAATGACCTCAACTACCAAATAGCCTTACATATTTCTTAAGTTTCTAAATTTCAAAAGGAACAGAATAAACTAAAACATGAGCACACTGATATAATCAGTAGTGTTGCACCAAAGTAAAAGAGTGAAAAACCATGAAGAATTCAAGTACAAAATAATTTCTATTTGTCCATTCCATGCTTTCTTTCCATGAACCACAAGGCATCATCAGCGACGTGTAACCTTAAGTTGATGGGTCTAAAAGATTAGCACTCTTCAATTGAACATATGAACTAAAAAATTCAGGGCATAACTCTACACCCAGAGAGTATATTATAAATTTAATAGCACAAGTTCATGAAGAGTATATAATAAATTTAATAGCACGAGTTCATGAAGTGAACTCAAATAAATCAAAAGAACTATGATCTCGCTATACAACAAATCAGATACAAATAACTGAAACTAATTAAACACTTAAAAAACAATAAAAGGAAAATCCAAAAGTGTACTAAAGTTACCTGTATAGGTGATGATTTCAATCATATTATCCCCTTAAATGATACTAATAGCTCTAATATGCAGTTATTACATAAATAAAAAAATAAAAGATAAAATCAGAATCCAATTAAAAAGTGTACCTGTTAGTAGGAGCAAAGGCAACACAAACCCAACAAGAAAATCCCCCATGAGAGCCACGAGTACGATCACTCCACTCTCGCCAATCTTTTTAGCGTCCAATTCATGAATCCGTTAATGGGTTCTCAAAAGTGAAAAAAAAAAACGAAAACCCATTTTGCAAGAAACCTAATAATTCAACAAGGAAATTCACAAGATATTAATTCGATAAAAAAAAAATTGAAACAAAGTTGATAAGGTTTTCTAAAATCACGGTTGACATCAACAACTTTGATGTAACTACTAACTACCAGTCTCAAACGTAAAAAGATAAAACAAAAACAATGAATGAAAAATAAATGAAGTGAAAATTGAGGATCTGTAAACTTAAAAAAAAAAAAGAAAAAAAAAAAAACAGTAGGAGTTCCAATTAGATTTACGCTGTAAAGATGGTTTGAGCCAATGGGAAAAAGAAAAAATATTTTCTTTCCCTCGTCTTTTTCCCGTTTGAGACTTGGTGGGGACGATGATTGCTTGTTTGCTTTAGATGACAAGGGAAATTAGGCGCAAAGAGCAGGGGTATAACGGTTATTTATAGGTCAAGTAGGTCGGTTGTACAGCTGTTTTAAATTTTGAATTTGTGATACGTTGGAGCCAATTCACTTTAAAAGGGCAAAAATAACCTTTAGTTTATTAATTACTAATTTTTTGTTTTATTCAAATTGAGAGATAAATGCGTTTGTTTAGTATTTCAGATTATATTTTTGAAAAAGTAAGGGTTATTTTGGTTCATTATTTGATAGTTTTTAGAATAATATTTTTTTAAAAAAATTAAATTTAGTGGGTATTACGATGTAGAATTTTGAAAATTAACAAAAATATCACCTATATTTGTTTATTTACTAAACACCCTTATAATAACATATTCAAAGTTAACAAAAATGCATCTAACCCACTCATTAAATATGGACAGCCGGCCACCACCACCAAAAGGTGGCCGGAGTCATCGTATCAGCCCATGACCAGCTGGATCTTGCCGTTCGTACGTCGATATAGCCTTTTTCGGCCAGATCCACAATGGATCTGGTCAAAAAATGTCAGATCTACGGCTAGATGTGGTCATTAACGGTTAGATCTGGCCACATTTGGCCGTCAACGACAGCAAAAAATACGGCCGTCTTTGATGGTCAACGACTGTCTATGGCCAAAGATCTAGCTGTTGATGGCCAGATCTTTGGTCGTAGATCTGGCATTTTCCAGCCAAATCTACTGTGGATCTGGCTGAAAAATGCTAGATCGGCGCACTACCCACCAGATTCAGTCGGTAGTACGCCATTACACTAGATTCCGGTCAGCTTCCAGTAGTGGTGGCCGGAATTTGGTAAATGTGGGTTGCTTGGGTGTTTGTGTCAATTTAAAAAAAAAAATTGGGGTTATTTAGTTAAATTAACAAATTTAGGGGGTTTAAAAGAAATTGAATAATTTAAAATAATATTTTGATAATAGTGAACCAAACACAAATTTTGTGTTTAACTTTAGGAATACTAGAATAGTATTCCCAAACTATGTACCAAATGGAGCCTAAGAGTTTGGTGGTTATCACGAGATAGGATTTAAAAATTAACAAAAATACTCTCTTATGTTAGGTTTGTTAATTTACTAAACACCCTTATAATAAAACATTGAAAATTAATAAAAACACCCCCACCCACCCATTAAATACGAGCAGTCGGCCATCACTGTCGGAGGGTGGCTGGAGCCACCATATTAGAGCACGACCAACTTCCAACCAGATCCACCGTGGATCTGACCATTGACAGTCAGATCTGACCTTTTGGTCGTCAATGACGACCATATCTTGGTCGTTATTGACTACTAGTTACAGTCAAAGATCTGGTTGTCAACGGCCAGATTTTGTGTCATAGATCTGACCTTTTCTGGCCACATCCATGGTGGATCTGGCCAGAAAAGGCCACATCAGCGCACTACCAGCTATATCTAGCTAATAGTGCTCCATTATACCAAATTTTGGCCACCTTCTGACTGTAGTGGCCAGAATCTGGCAAATGTGGGTGGGCGAGGGTGTTTTTATCAATTTTGAAACTTTTTTTTTGGTATTTAATTAAATTAACAAACCTATGGAGTTTAAAAATAATTGAATAAAATATAATAATATTTTCAAAATAGGGAAATAAGTATGTATTTTGGATAAGATAGGAATAGGATAGGGCAAAAATAGGGAAACAAATGCCCCAAATGGTACATAATTTTTTCCTATCCTATCCAAAATACACATTTATTTCTTTATTCTCAAAATATTATTATATTTTATGCAATTCTCTTTAAACCCCCTAGGTTTGTTAATTTAACTAAACACCCCAAAAATAATTTTAGAAATTAACAAAAACACCCCAGCAACCCACATTTGCCAGATTCTGACCACCATCGCTGGAAGCTGACCAGAATCTAGTATAATGACATACTACTAGTTGGATCTGATTGGTAGTGCGCTGATCTAACATTTTTCAGTCAGATTCACAGTGGATCGTCAACGACCAAATGCAGCCAGATCTGGCCGTCAATGGTCAGATTTAGCGGTAGATCTAACCTTTTCTGGCCAGATCCACTGTGGATCTGGTCGAAAAAAGTCATATTGGTGCACGACTGACTAGATCCAGCTGGTTGTGTACCGATACGGTGACTTTGACCACCCTCCGACTATGTTGGCCGGCTGTCGGTATTTAATGGGTGGATGGAGTGTTTTTGTTAATTTTTAATATTTTATTATATGGGTGTTTAGTAAATAAACAAATCTATGAGGATATTTTTGTTAATTTTTAAATCCTACATCTAGAGATGGCAATGGGCCCGACATTTTCGGGTACCCGGCCCGGCCCGAAAGGGGCGGGCTTTACCTGAGGTTGGCGGGCTTGGGCTTGAGCCTGGGCTTGATTTTAAGGCCCGACCTCTGGTACGGGTCGGGCATGGGTATATCTTTAGGCCCGGCCCGGCCTGGCCAGTCTCAAAAATTTTAGTATTAATTTTACTAATTTACCCTTATACTATATATTTAATTACAATATTATCCTATATATATATATATATATATATCCATTTTTCCCAAACCCTAACCTCAATTTTCATCCCATATTAAAGGTTTAACATGTTAAAATTGCCTTTAAATGAGTTAGATGAGTTTGGTTCAACTTATTAAAGTGGATTTCACCGTAACATATTATGCACAGCTGAAAAGTTAGTATAATCAACTATTATGGAGTTTTAATTGCTCACTTATTGTTAACTATTTGGGAAAATAGCTTCAATTAATATTTAAAAACCATTCTAAAATAAAAAATATAAAAAAATTTGAAATTTATTCATATTTAAAAATAAAAATTATTAAAAAATGGGCTTGGGCCGGGCCTGCGATTATAAAAAACCGTCGGGCTGGGCTTGGGTTTTACCTATCATACCCGTAGCGGGCTCGGACGGGCTTGGGCTGTGTCATGAGGTCGGGCTTGGGCCTGGGCCAAGGGGTACCCAGTCCCGACCCGGCCCATTGCCATCACTACGGCACATCGTAATAATTACCAAATTTTACTTTTTTTAAAATATTATTCTAAAAAGTATTAAAATTTTACTTTTTTTTAAATATTATTCTAAAAAGTATCTAATAATGATAACTATATTAGGAAAAAACAATTATTAAATATTGTATTTATTTATTGATTAAAAGAATAAAAAACGATGAAAGATATAAAGGGACGGCGTCGTTTGATAGTAAATGGCGCAATTGTCTAGCAAAACCACCTTTCATTCCTTATCCTCCTTTTTCTCTCTTCTCTCCTGGCTTGGCTTAGCTCCTGCGTCTTGGTGCTTGGACTTTAATGAACCAGTGTAATTTAATCTAAAATATGAACACTTTAGTCTCAACATCGCTTTACAACTGTCGCATCTCAAAACTTCCCAGAAATCTGCGCAACGACCTATCATTATGCGGTCATAATTTTCGCCGCACAAGCTTGAAGATTATAAATGCCAACGCAAATGAAGTAGATGCACAGACAGTGGAGGAGCCGCCCCAGAATGAAGAGCTACAACCTCAATCCAAAGAAACAAGCACCACATCTACTCCACTTGATAAAGACCTCAAAAAGGTTGGTTTAGGAAACTTTGGGCCCGTCTCGTTTCTCTTAACAGAATAGTATGCTTTGAATTTTGCTTTTTTAACTGATTTTGAAAACACCCAATTAGTATTACGAATGGTTTTCTTCATTTAGTAGCATGCATATTTTTCTTTTACACTACTGCTAGTGCATGAAAGTATTTTACACTAGAAGAAATGACTTTGCCGGAACGGGCATTAAAGTATATGATTATTGAGCCGTGCAACGATCTGGTTTCCATTTGTGTTCAATGAAGCATTTTGACACTTTGCTTTAGTTGAAGGGCTAGAGTGTTGTCTCAGTTGAGTGTGCCCTTGACAATTTCAACTAACATGTGGGTGACTGCAAAAGTTAATTCAGAATTTCTAATTGCATAATTTCGAATTACATAACTGATTTGGATATTGAAAGATCTTTTATGATTGATTGCTCTTAATTTGTTATTAGGTGTTGTTGTGACAACAGGTTGTTCAAAAGACTGCTGCAACCTTTGCACCAAGGGCTTCCACAGCTACCAAAAACCCAGCTGTTCCTGGAACTGTTTTGTACACTGTTTTTGAGGTTCAAGGTTACGTTTCAATGTTGCTAGGTGGAGCTCTATCATTCAATCTCATATTCCCATCAAATGAACCTGACATATGGAGACTAATGGGGATGTGGTCTATTTGGATGTTCAGTAAGTTATGCACCCTTTATTCGATTTCGAATTGTATCAGCAGTCATGCACCAAACGTAATATAGCTATGAAGTAGTTGCATATGTAATTTCATTCATTGTTTTCAGCATAGCATGTGAAGTACACCCATAAAGTTCTCACTTCAGCTATCCATTTCTACATCTTTGAAAATCATAACTGCAGCTATTCATTCCTACAACACATCTTTTAATAAGATAACTGAATCAATTATTTAGTGTACTGCATAAATACTGATTTGCACAAGCGCAATGGCTTTTAAGTCATGGCAGAATTGGTGTGCTTAAAATGTAGTGCCTGTTGTTTGCAGCAATTCCATCCCTTCGTGCCCGAGACTGCTCAAAGAATGAGAAGGAAGCACTTAATTATCTGTTTCTCATCATCCCATTGCTCAACGTTATTATTCCTTTCTTTTGGAAGTCATTTGCTGTCGTCTGGTCTGCAGACACCGTCGCATTCTTTGCTATGTATGCATGGAAGGTATGCTTCTTTAATTCAGAAACCATGAATTTGATTACCCAGCTGATTAACTACATTTCTATAGATTGAAATAAAATTTTTTTTTTGCATAGTTTGGGTGGCTACAGAAGGCAGAGTAGGAGCTTTATGCAGCACCATTTCTCTTCAACTGGATACATGATTTCATAATTTCAATTGATTTACACTGGCCGAGATGAAGATTAGTGAAACAGGGAACCAGAGGTTGCTTCCTATAGGCAAGACATATTGTTCTTAAGTTTTAGATATATGATGGTGAATTAATATTTAGCTAGTCTACACTTTGGGGTATGGGTAGTTAATTCATGTTTGTTGTGCACGCGGAAAAAATGTATATAATTCAAAGACCATTTCAGGAGTCTTAAAAGTTACAATTCTTCAAATATCTACTACATTATTTAAGAAAATTCCCGGCAGCAAGAATTATTTGATAAATTTTTATACAAAGCAGCGGAGTGCTTTAATGTTTTTGGTAATATACAGAAGGCTAACAACGGGAACTTAAAAACAAGTTGCAAATTCCTTATTTAGACTGCTGGTATTCATCAATATCTTCTTTGGAGAAACCAACTCATTGCTCCTTGGTTGAATTCATAATTCGAGCTATTGTTGAAGGATAACAGCACACATTAAACTGCAACTACTTCTTGGGATTCAACTCTTAACCATTGCTATTTTTTTACTTAATTTATAGACCTCCCCTTTCAATCATATTCTTCCAGAACATTGAAACGGTGACCAAATAAATACTATATTTGTTTCTCAACAATTCTTCTGGACCAAAATTCTACTGGCAGATGACATTAACAATGGCTTAAGAACTTTAAATGTGTGGCAAACGCATTAGGGAAGACCCTAAACTACAACAAATATTGTCTTGCCTTGAGATAACACATACAGACATACTAGGCCATCAAAGGAGATAAAGGGGCCTGAGAATTTAAGTATTAGATACCTTATCTTATAAGCATACACAAGTAGCCTCAAATGCATTACAATGCATCCTTCAACAGGGTTTCCCTTTTAAGAATGGCATCCGTACTCTAATATGAGGATCCAATATTGAAAAAGCCAAAGATTCTCAAACGCAAATCTGAGGATCCAATTTTGAAGAAGCCAAGATTCTCAAATGTAGAGTCATCATATTATAAATATTCATCGTCACTATCTTCCTCATATTCAGAACTGGAATCATCACTTCGTACCATCAGGGTATTCATGTCAAATGATGGCACCATTTCCATCTCCTCCATGTCAATGGTGTCATAGTTCATCCGTTCCTCGAACTTCTCATCAGAACAGTTAAGAAGCCAGGAAAGAGAGCATTTCAAACCCTTCTTCACAATCATCTTGTGTCTCGGTTTAATAGTAGACTGCAGACCATACGTAAAGAATGCTGGGAAAGCAATCAAATCATCCAGAGGCCTTTTCATCTCCCTTTGAAAGAAATCAAAGCTAAGTTTCATGATGTCAATATTCAAAGCAAGCACTTGGGGACACCCCACAACAATCTTCGTCACTTGCTGCAAGGAGAATCCACAATCCTTAAGGAAACCCACATGCTTCAAAATAGCATTATTAGTTACGCTAACAACCTGAGGCATCTTCTCAACAACAGAGCCAAAATCCTCAAGACTCAGTTCAGTAAGTGAATTAAGTAAACTCTGTTGACCAAGAAGCTTTGGTTTCAGGTCAATTCCTATAATTTCAGGATATTGTGCCACTACTAAAGGAAGTGCTTCTTTTCTGACATTGAACTCTACAAGGGTATCAACATTTGGTTTCACCCTTTCCTCTAATCCAAAACCCAGGATATGAGGCCGCTGCTCTATCAATTTAGCTATAGCTAATCTTGGAATACCCAAACTTTCAAGATATTCCACGAAAGGTTTGATCACTCGGCCCACTCGCATGCCTACAATCTCTGGGTATCTAGTTAAAACTCCTCCAATTTCTCTTCTTGCCACTCCAATTCCAACCAAATACGCCACTGATGTGCTCATTGTCCCCTCAAGTTTGAATCCTAATACTTCTGGATATCTCTCAAGAACCCGTGGAATATCATTTGGCTTGATATCCAACCCCTGCAGATACTTGACAACAGGAGCAAGGTCTACAACAACACTAGCATGGAGGACTTGCGGGTATCTTCTCAAGAACCCTGTGAAAGTGGATTTCCTAACACCCAATTTGCCAAGGTAGTCAAGCACTGGTATCATGTTCTTTTTCACACTGCAGCCAAGAACCAGAGGGTAATTATTGATGTCTTCAATTGTTAACCCTAAATTGTGAAGAAAATCCACACGTTCCCTCATTACCTCTATTGTAACAGGAAGCTCTAACCCATCAAGTTCATCAGGAACAATACCAATTCCCCGCAGGAAATCATAAACCTTGGCACGATTTGCTATCCTCTCATTCTTCATCTCTATTAAACTAGGACGGCTATACAAGGATGTCGAGGATCTTTGTTTCCCACCTAAACGACCAGTATATGGCTTGGACACAGATGCATCCACAGAAGATGCAGATGTTCTGGCAGCAACCGAGTACTGAAACCTTGTAATCAACCTAAACCTCTTCTCACAGTTACTTGTGACCATAAGAATCGATGAAGGAGATAAGTGAGATCTACAAAAAGACAAAGCAGGTAAATCTGGGTGTACAAGCAAAAAATTAGATTTTGTAATGCCAGCATAGCTCATGATCTTCATTTTTCCCGTTCCCAAAGCTTGCAGTATCAAAGAATCTGCATACAAACAATTCCTTATCAGTGATTATGAATTCTACACAGACAAAAATAATAAAACAACATAAAACGGAGCACTTGAAATTGGAAGATTCAAGTTTGAAAACAAGTAAAACCAATGGAAACGAGTGTAATGACACTAATGAACCCTAGAATATCCGTTGTACTAAAAGACGAGTCGCACACAAATTAGTAGGAAGAGAAATTAAAAATATCAAGCATTAAAAGTAGAATGGGCATCTCAAATAACGCAACCGAATTAAGTAGATAAAATAACATTTAGAATTAGATAAATTTAAAGCAGATAAAAAGCCAATGTTGAAAATAAATGCATTCAAAATTAAAGCTTGGTCATAATATTAATTCGTGATATTTTCCTATACGTTGTCAGCAAACAGACAAGAGTCTACAACTATTAATTTGCTTATAGATAGTTAAACGAAGAGAAATGACCTGTTTCCTACTGGAAATATGCAAAGATGAGTATAGGCGGTGACCGTCGGAGTAGCGTCGGAGCTGACGCCTGAAGCAGGGCTTAAGCTTGGGTTCAGAAGTGGGTAAGGTTTTGGCTCGAGTAGGGGAAGCTTTTAGTTTGCTACGTCAATTCTTCTGTTGCTGTTCCATTATCTTCACCGTCGAAATTGGCTTACAATATGCTAGAGTGAAGCAGCCCAAACTTCCATCGCTCAACTCTAGCACCCTAGGTGGGCTCCATTAGTTTTACTGAGGCACACCCCAACCAAGTCACTCAAGCGGCCCACTCAAGGAATCAAGTGAGCCCAAAACAGAATTTAATTTTAACAAGATTAAATTTAAACTAAAAATAAAGTTAATAATTGAAATTACTAGAAGATGAAAGGAATAAAATATAGAAAATGAAATAATTATAATTTAAGAAACTTTAATTGCTCGATCTAAGTGCAATCTTTACTATTTTCATTAGAAATACATTTAAATATTTAAGTTTTGCATAGATGTAGTGTTCAATAGTGATAAAAATAAGATCTAATATTCAAAATATATTTGTTATTTTTTATAAGATTGTATTTTTGGACACTTGTACAGTTTTATTTTTATGAGAAAACTATTTAAAAGATCGTTTTGCTTTTCGCAAGTTAAAATATGATTTTTTTTTTTTTTAATTGGTTTAATAGATAAGACATTTCACCTGCTTTTCACAATTTTTATGCCTTCATTCTAGCAACTCTAACGCTGGAGTCACTGTATATGGCTACATGCATATTTTTTATTCTTCAAATTAGTGTTAGAAATTAAATATCACAATTTTTTAAAACTAACAGATAAATTAACTAATTATATTTCAATAAATAATTAAAAAACAAAGTATACTGTTTTTAAAAATAAATAGTAAATGTATATAAGAGTTATTTTAATCTTCTAAAAAAATATTATGCTATAACCAACTGGACTTTAGAATTGACTAAGTTCTAACCACTTGAGCACTAGGGTTGCTTTCCCTAACAGTTAAAATGAAGAGGGTAAAAGTAGAGCTGGCAAAAAGGCATCCATACCCGCGGGTTAACGGGTATCCACATCAAACGGGCAGGTATAGATACTTCTAAAAATTACCTGTATAAAAATTACCTGCACCCGAACCACCTATGGAAAAACTGGTGGGTCGGGTAATGCCCGCAGGTGCCCGTATTTAAATAAATTAAAAAAAAAAAACTTAATCTGAAATTTGCAAAAACAAAACAAAACCGTAAGCCTAAAGTGAAAAAACGGGGCAGTTTATTAAAAGGCCATCTCAAGTTTGCATTTAATTAAAAGGCTATCAAGTTTTAAAGTGTTAACTAAATAGTCATATTATTGATTAAGGGTAATTAGTGCTTATTTAGGATTAATGAAGTATTATGTAATCTTTTTTAAATTATAATATATTCCCACAAACCCGAAATTGTTGCAAACAAACCCAAACACATTCCTGCCATTAACGCATCTCTACCTCTGCATCTTCTTCTCTTCTTCTTAGCTTCGTCTACATCTTCTTCTTCTTCCTCCTTCCTCTACATCTTCTTCTTCCTTATTCCTCTATATCTTCTTGTTCCTCCGCCATTAACACTTCTTTCTTCCTCCACCATTAACATCTTCTCCGGCAAAGATCCCCCTCCTCCTCCTCCTGACATTTCGTCTAAGTATGTGTATTTCCTTTTTACATTTTATATTTAGATTTACAAAGATTTAATAATGGATGGGGTTTGGGTTATGATTTTGATTTAGTTGTTTAGGTTGTTGAGTCGTGTTTGATGTAATGCAAGTTGAAAGGAGTGAAATTTGTTGAAAATTTGTTCTGGGTATGTGGTCTGGGTATGATGGAATCGATTGTAGGCGGAGATGACTGAAAATATGTTTTGGGTATGATGGATCGCTTAAGCGATCTGGTGTATCGCTTAAGCAATCTGGTAGGTCTGGTAATGCAGCAGATAGATCACTTAAGCAATCAGGTATGCAGCAGATAGATCGCTTAAGCGATTTGGTAAAAGTCTGGTGTATAGGAACAGATCGCTTAAGCGATCAGTAAATGGCATAAGATCTTTGGTGTGCTATCGTAGGCAACCAAGATTAAAAACCTTCTAACCTAACTACTAAACTGTAAATAGGGTAAGCAAGAGTCGATCCCACGAAGAGTGTCTAGCTGAATTTTCTACGATGTGAATAAGGCTGGGGGTTTTTGACTAAAACAGAAAACAATCTTAGCCAAAAACAAAAACAAAAACAATTCAATTCGAAATCAATTAATATAACGAAACTTGGTCTCCGTCAACATTCACCATCGGAATCTTACAACTGATCATTGATGCAAAAGTAAATCAATTCTTATTTTGAATATTTACCGTTGGAACTATTTTCCTATCTCTTCTTAATTGTAATTAATTAGGAAACAAGCGATCTTAGTTAATCTTACCATTAAACAACCCTAGACAAGCGCTAAAGATTTAATCTAATGACAGCCTTAAGAATTAGAGAAATCGATGAAGCTAAACAACACAAACACAAGCGGTTGTATTTAATTTAGTTGAATGTTCTTCTTAAGATTACTAATTCCTGACGCAGCAAATTATTAACCCTAATTGCTTCACAAGTTAGAGGGATCAAACAATTACGGATTTGATATCAAACTTAGCAGTAGATTGCAACAAATAATACACTAGTAGGCCTCCTAGTAATTAAATGCATCAATCATGAAGATATGCACAGAATAACATTCAATACTCAAACACGAAAATTGAACACTAAAATAAAATAGATTAGATCTCACAGTTGGTTGATTCCGAGGTCTCCATTTCCGACGACCAAGTTACAAAAGTTTTAGCCGCTCATGGCCATAATCAAAACTCAAAAGAGAAAATTGCAAAGAAGTCAAAAGAGAGGCGTGGTCTCCCTCAAAAACCCTAATCTGATCCCCTTAACAAAAATTCAGTTCAAGTATTTGAATCCCACTAAATCTCCCAAAAGAAATACTCTAATATCCTAAAAATAACATTAATCCTAATTTGATTCTAATTAATTGAAAATAAGATAAAGTCCTAAAATAAAATAGGAAAATGGTGATTCTGAGCTGTAACTTGCGTGCCACATGTCCTCAAATCTTCCAATAATAAACTGCCTCATTGATTTGCATGACAAGGCAGAATGCTCCATGACGTTCAGTGCAGATGTGTCAACTTCAAGCTCAATTACAACCTTGATGCAGTGAGTATATCTCCAAACTCAAAACATGAAAGTTGTAGATATATTTCTTAGCATTCCACAGAATTTTGAATCATCTCAATCGGAGCTTGGATGAGAGAGTTATGCCCAAATTACGAAACAACACCGGAACTGTCTGAATTCACTTAATTAGTTCCATTTTGCAATTAATGCCTCCATTTGCATCTTAAATCAAAATAGAATAATAATGAGTACACTTAGGCAACAAATACGTATAAAAGACTAAACATTGAGGGGGTAAATATGATATTTTGCATTCTCATCAATCGCTTAAGCGATACAACAGACTATATAAGCGACTGTGCAGATTCTTTTTAAAATATTTGAACCCTTAGTACAACATTTAAGAATTTTTTTTTTCTTGCATTACAGGTAGTTGGCTATTATTACACATGGGACAAATTGTTTTGGGTGTTGAATATTTTGGTGAGCGGGCAGAGGAAGGACGTAGCTGGGAGTGGATTGGGAAGAGTAAAGAAGCTATACCAATTGCTGTGAGCACAGAGGTTAGTTTTCATGAGTTGATTGATGAAATAATTAGAAGAGGTAATTTGAGTTGCTCGCGTAGTGATATAGTTGTGAAGTATATTTTAAGCAGAGTTCCTGAACATTATAAGGTACCTCCTATTATATTAAAGTCGGATGAAAGTGTGAAGTTATATATGATTGATGTGCCCGATAATAGTTCGAGGCCAATTTTAAGGGTTTCTCTTGTAGAAAAACCGTTCGAAGTTGGTTCAAAGGAAGGGGACAACGAGGAAGTAAGCGGAGATTTGCCTGGTTTTAATTTGAACTATGAGATCATTGATTTGTTAGTTGAAAAATCAAGAGTAGACGGTGAATTGGGTGGTGAGGAGGGCACTGTAGAAGAGGTTGGTGATGGGGGGCAGAATGAAAATGTTGAGGAGGAGGTCCCCATAGATGTTCCCACATATGTAGAGATTCCTTTAAATACAGATTATGCAGAAGACGTAGATTGTGAGGAAGAGAACATCATGGTCGTTTATGCAGGTTCAGAGAGGGCAATTGGAGGTAGTAGTGAATCAGCTCATGTTTTTATGGGCGGATCAGAGTTGCACATAGGGTATTTATTTGACAACAAAGAGGAAGTGGTGAGGAAGCTAAAACTTGTTGTCGTGAGACGTAATTTTGAGTTCATCACCAAAAAGTCAAATTCATTGGCTATCACGGTTGCATGTCATGCCCGAAAGTGCAAGTGGCGGATTTATTGTAGAAGGTTGGCAGAGTCGGAAAAATTTATGCTTAGCACATATACCCGTGAGCACACTTGTGGTTTGGGACATATTTCAGGTGAGCATCGACAAGCGTCCGCTGATGTTATTGGACAATTTGTCAAAAGTTGGTTCGTTGAAGGGAAAGGTCCATCTCCTAAAGACATTCAGAGACTTGTGCGCACAGAGTTGGGATGTGCTGTTAGTTACTGGAAATGCTGGAAAGGGAGACAACATGCACACGATTTTGTGAGGGGCACGCTGGAGCACGGGTACGCAGTATTAGAAGTGTACCGTTATATACTTGAGTTGACAAACCAAGGTAGCAAGACGGCTTTGAAGTGGGACAGGAATATGATGTTTAAATATTTTTTTTGTTGCTTACGATTCTGCTATAAGGGGTTTTGTAAACATGAGAAAGGTTTTGGCTATTGATGGTTGCTTTTTGACGGGAAAGTATGAAGGTATATTATTGATGGCCACTGCACAGGACAGCGAGAACCACACATATCATGTTGCATGGTGTGTGGTTGACTCTGAGAATGACAAGTCGTGGACTTGGTTTTTTCAGCAGTTACGTACGATAGTGCCTGACACTGACGAGTTGTGCATAATATCCAATAGGCACAACTCTATAAAGAAGGGGATTGCCACTATTTACTATCAAGCACATCACAGATTCTGTATGAGGCACCTTGGTGAGAACATAAAA